ACAATATTGACTGCACACGGAATATTACTTTGAAATGCGGTAATTTTTCTTTTTTCCTCACTATGGCCACCTGGCTTTGAAATATGTGCAGAATACTCTTAGAGGTACTTTATTTGAAAAATATTAATTAAAAATTTCTATTCTTTACATTTATTTTTACCTTTGTATCAAATTTAAGCGTTTTGGGACATAAGAATTGCATGGCCCAACATAAGTAACTATTAGTCATACTTTAAATTTAGTTAATGGAAATAAAATTAAATTAAACATTTATTTCTCTAGTCACTAGCCACATTTCAAGGGATCAGTAGTGGCTACCGTATTAGATAGTGCTGATATAGAACGTTTCCATCATCACAGTCACTTCTATCGGATACACTGCTCTAGAATAGGAGTTCACAAAGGACCTCCTGGGAGTCCAATCTGGTCCACGACTTGAGTTAATATGAAGTTTTATTGGAATACAGCCATGACCATTTGTTTGCACATTGTCCATGGCTACTTTCACACTGTAACAGCAGAATTGAGTGGTTGGAACAGAAACCTTATATCCCACAGAGAGAGTAAAATATTTTCTTTTTATTTCTTTACAAAAAATGTTGTATTCCCTGCTTTAGAGTATATATGCTCATAAAGTTAAAGTTGTTTGAATAACATATGCACAGCACATGTTAGTAATATAGCATGTTACATAAGGCAGGTTATCATAGTTCAAAGATGAGTCAGACGAGAACAGTCAAAAATAGAATCTAAGACCCAAGTGCTGGATAATTAGACAGGAGCAGTCATTCCCTTGTAGGGACAACTAGAAGGTAAGTCTTCTGGTAGATCAGTTCCTTTCCAAAATGGAGAGAAGTAAAGAAGAGTCCCAGGTAAGACCGATCAGTTTACATTGAAGGTGCTAATCCACTTAAGGTGGGGTGGGCAACTGGAAGGATTAGTGCACAGTTGTCATGAGATGCACCTGTGCCAGTGTGGCTCATTGTTACACCTGGGCCCAGAGTTAAGGGACCGAATCTGAAAAAGATGCTAGGACAGTTAGAAGATTAACAGAGTGAGGTAGGTAACAGAAATAGATGTAATAGGTTAGACCTAAAAACCTCTCAATTTACACTTACAATAGGAATTTTTGCAAAAGTGTTCAATTCATTAATATAGTGTCAAGTTTCTAAATATTTTATTGATGTGGATCATTTTAGTATTCTTATAACCTTCTTTTACTCTTTATATGGACTATCCAAGAAATGTAGTCTCTTAGATGACGTGTGAAATACTTAAGTCCATTTTGTTTACCATTTTACATACAATTTTAATATTATTTTAAACCATGGAACTGTTCCATTTTGGTAGAATATGTGCGTATTTTGTGTGTGGCTTATAGTTTTTAAAACAGAATCCAAATTGTCTTGATGCATAGGTTGTACCCCACAGGAATTTCTCTCTGAGGATACTGTTAAACTTTTATTTTTTTAAACTTATGTATTTTTAGTTATTAGATTTGAAACTACATTGTAGGGCAGTGTACTAACAGCCTTTGACATTGGCCTAATAGAACTGTCATTGTTACTGTTTCTTTGTTATTTTCCTAGGTTGAAGCTAACAATTTCTTATTCAAAGTGTCCTTGCTTCTCTTAGGCCAGGGCTTTTATAAGGGCTCAGTGAGTACCTTATAAAGGCTGACCCTTACTGGAGCAGATTATAGTGTAGCATGAAGAGCTAAATTTAGAGGGAAGCAGGGCCTCTGCTCCAAATAGTAACAGCTAAAGGATAGACACTCTTGGAGAGCAGAATATCTTCATTTAGTCTGTCACCACCAGTGGGTGAGTTTTTGTTTGTTTGTTCTAATTTTGGTTGTTATATCAAAGTCTTTGCGTACATTTTTATATTTGCATGTTATTATGTGTTTGTGCACATGGAACATATCAAGGGTATGAAAAGTAAACCCACATAGCTGGGTTATAAAGAAACAAACTTTTATGCTTAGAAAGAAAGTAAGTATAAAAGCTAAAGATTTTGAAAATAGAGTAATTCTTTCATATGCTGTGTTTGGTGGTACTTCTCCATTAACAGAAATAATAGAAACAAGGTGCAAAGAGTTAATTAGGGAATTCCATGAGTTTGTATTCTAAACCCCAAAATAAAACTTTTAGGAGGGACTCACACTTTAGAATTTTTGAAATTACAAATTAAAAACCATTTTTAGCCTGGAACAGTGGTGTGTGCCTGTAATCCCAGTTGCTCAAGAGGCTGAGATGAGAGAATTGCTTGAGTCCAGGAGTTTGAAGTCACCCTAGTCAACATAGTAACACTCTCATCTCTAAGGAAGTAGAGAGAGAAAAAAAAAGGAAGGAAGGAGAGAGAAAGAAAAAGGAAGGACGGAAAGAAAGAAGAAAAACATCTTTGGCAGAGAAATCTGCTGGTGAGATTTCTGTCTAGTTGAGCTACATTCTTTTTGCATCTTGGTATAAGACCTAACACCCAAATTCTTTGACACATATTTTTCTTTGCTAACACAAATACATTTTGTGTAATATTTGTGTTTGGAAGATATGGAGACAATAATATGTATATCATCATCACTTTTGCAACAATAAAGTATTGGCTGATCCAGAGTGAATCTGTTTATAATGCCAGCAGGAAAGTTTCTGAATGAAACTTTTGCAGTGAATATAAATGATGCATTAGAAGCTCTGTTTTCAACATCCATCAAATGAAATGGGAATTCATTGATTAAGTTTATAGAATTTGTAATGATTTCAATATGTTGCTGTTGCCCCATACACATAAGCAATCACTTTATTCTTGCACTGGTCTGTGTTTCTGCTGTTTGAACTATTACATTGTGTTGCAAATGTTTGAATTTTATCCCTCCCAATGAGTTTCTCAAGGGCATGGATTCTGGCTTAATAACCTTTGTATCTCAAAGCGTGATGTATTAAGTTCATTTTATTTTATAGGGTTGATAAAAACTATTTCTCAAACCATGTAATTACTTTTTGTGTTTTTATGTGACTTTTAATTAGTTTCCCTTCTAAAATAATGATTAACTTGAAGTTTTCAATAATAAACAGATTTTTTATTATGTGAAGCTACAAGTTTCTCTTTTATGCAGTAAGAAGGAAAATTGGTACATAAATAGTTTTTTCATGTTCTTAAGGATTTAAACAAAAACTTTCAGGAGTAATTAAATTACTTGAATAATGTAAATTTTTTATTGTTTGCTGGCATAAGTAATTAAGGAAATCTAGACATTTTCAAATGAATGCTAAAATCTTTGGAAGGTAATTAAATAATTTGCTTGAGTAATGCATGTTATATTGAATGTTTGGCCTTCATAATTGAAGCAATCTAGACATATTTTCAGTTTATGATATGTATATCAACAAGCATATTCTCAAGTTTTAAGAAGTCTTGTGGAGCAGGCCTTACATTTTTTCAAAGATAATATTACATTTTTTAAATTGTGTATTAAATCCAGTAAAATAGTATGAAGTACACAAATCCCTGTCCATTAAGGTAAACCAAAAAATAAAAAATTTATTAATAGTTTCTTTATCCTTTTTAAATTGTTGTTGCATAGAAAACCATATATTCTATACACCCTCCTTGTAACCAAATACTTTACATTCTTTTATTCAGCTTGCTTTTTTCCACTATCATTATCCCTTGAGCATCTTTCCATATCAGTCCAGCAACTTATTTGAAAAGTATTTATTATATGTTTATACTTTGCTCAATGTAAAAGGTGCAGAATGGAGGAGCTAAAGGAGCTCTATGGAATAAAAACCTACCAGGTTCCTGTCCTAGTGGAGGTTACACTCATTGGGGGTATAGACCCTAGACAAAGAGATAATAATAAAATGACAGGCACTGCTAAAGAAAAAGAAAGCTAGGTAAGGAGAGCTATTGACAACGGGCCACTTTGGTGGAGATGGTCAGAGAAGACCTCCCTTTTCAGGGATGCATTTGAATGATTGCAAGGAGATAGCCATGTGGACAGCTGGGGAAGATCTTTCCTGAAAGAGAGGCAGGAACAGAGCCTCAGAAGCCACACCTTATCTGGCCTATTGAAAGAACAACAAAGAGATCAATGTGACTGGAACTCAATGAGCGATGAGACAAGATGTGTATTGAATATACATATATAGTCAGAAAGGTAGCCAGGATCAGAAATGTAGTACAGTTAGATCTAATTCATGCTTTCATAAGCTTCATGGTGCCCCACTTGGTGGCTGCATTATAGCTTATTTGAGGACATTTCATGTTCCATTTTTATGTATACAACAATGCTGCAACTGAAAACAATGCTGCAACTAAATCCTTTTACATATACAAGTATATTTGGATTCTTGTGTGAACATAACTATAGGATAAATTCCTGATAAGGTATTGCTGGACCAAGGTTATGCCCCTGTAAATATTTATAGATACTCACCGAAATTTTCCTCAAAGTATTTCATGGAGTTTAACCTTTACATCAAAGTTGGTGTCGTGGTGGTTTTTCCTATGTCCTTTGCCAACATTGAGTATTGGTAAACTTTAAAATTTTGGCTAGTCTGAGTTAAAATTAGATCTCATTTTTAAAAGTGTATTTATGCCGGGCGCCGTGGCTCACGCCTGTAATCCCAACACTTCAGGAGGCCAAGGCAGGTGGATCACGAGGTCAGGAGTTCAAGACCTGGCCACCATGGTGAAACCCCATCTCTACTAAAAATACAAAAATTAGCCAGGCGTGGTGGCTCACGTTTGTAATCCCAGCTACTCAGGAGGCTGAGGCAGGAGAATCACTTGAACCCGGGACGCGGAGGTTACAGTGAGCTGAGATCACACCACTGCACTCCCACCTGGGCGACAGCGAGACTCTGTCTCAATTTAAAAAATAAAAGGCATATTCAGTAATGAGAGAGGTTAAACATATGTTCAACCAAATTTATTGCCCATATTTTTTTCATATAAACTGCTTATTTGAAATACATAATCTTTATTTTCTTTGTTTTCAGAAATTTTATGAATAAGCATCAGAAGCCAGTGCTAACAGGCCAGCGGTTCAAAACTCGGAAAAGGGGTAGGTTGTGTGTGTGTGTGTTTAAAGTTGTAACCAAAATGTAAGATTGGAGAAGAAGCTGAATGATTCCTGTTTCCCCCAACCTCACTGATTCTACTCATTTGAGCTCTGAGTGTAGAATCTGACGTGCTTTAGTGAAACCATAGAACTTCCAGTTACTTGTTGGACAAGTTATTTAATTGGCCTAGGCTACAGAATGGGATAGATATCTCTGTTCAGGTTGTCTTACTTTCATGTGAGGTTATGAAGGCAATTGGTGAATTTCACTGGTTTTGACGTTAGCATTGTATTTGATTTTTGCTTTCTTTGTCGTTTTATGAAAACGATGATGGCAAAGATGATAAAATGAAAAGTAAATTAGGAAGTGAGATATTGAAGAATTTCTTAATTTTTCAGAAATGAGGAAGTCAAAATAAATCTACTGCCCTAAATTCCCCTTAAAAACCATATTTTCAAGTGTCTTTCATTGTGGTAAGGGTAGTTATAGACCCATGTTGATGATGACTGGTGAAATTTCTATTTGTGTGAGTGACTTTTTTCTTTTATAACGTTCATCTTAGCATTCTTTTTGTGTAAATAATATTTTATACATTTTTTTAGAGACAGGGTCTTGACTGTCACCCAGGTTGGAGTGCAGTGGTGTGATGATAACTCACTGCAGCCTCAAACACCTGGGCTCAAGTGGTCCTTACACCTCAGCCTCCCAAGTAGCTGGGACTATAGGTGCACAGGTGCACACCACCACACCTGGCTAATTAAAAAAAAAAAAATTTGTACAGACATGGTCTTGAACTCCTGGCCTCAAGCAGTCCTCCTCCCTTGGCCTCCCAAAGTGCTGAGATTGTGGATGTGAGCCACTGCACCTGGCCTGTATAAAGACATGTATGTATGTATGTATGTATGTATTTAGAGACGGAGTCTCACTCTGTCATCAGGCTGCAGTGCAGTGGCACCATTTTGGCTCACTGCAACCTCCGCCTCCTGGGTTCAAGCAATTCTCCTGCCTCAGCCTCCCAAGTAGCTGGGGTTACGGACGCCCACCATCATGCAAGCTAATTTTTGTATTTTTAGTAGAGACGGGGTTTCGCCATATTGGCCAGGTTGGTCTCGATCTCCTGACCTTGTGATCCACCTATTTATTTTAAATTAATTATTGGCTTATTTTTTTTTGAGATATGGTCTTGCTCTGACACCCAGGCTGGAATATAGTGGTGCCATCACAGCTACTGCAGACTTGACCTCCTGGGCTCAAGCGCTCCTCCCACCTCAGCCACCCAAGAAACCACTTTTTTGTGGAGACAAGGTCTTGCTATGTTGTTGAAGCTGGGCTCAAGCAGTGTTCCTGTCTCAGCTTCCCAGAGTGATGGGATTATAGGCATGAGCCACCACACCAAGCCAAGAATATTTTAAACATGATTTCATATTTAGTCAGTTTTGCATAATTATATAGAGGTCCTCTTGGATATAATAGCTGAACTGGGGCCAGGCTTGGTGGCTCACACCTGTAATCCCACGCTTTGGGAGGCCGAGGCAGGCGGATTGCCTGAGGTTGGGAGTTTGAGACCAGCCTGACCAACATGGTGAAACCCAGTCTCTACTAAAAGTACAAAATTAGCCGGGCGTGGTGGCACATGCCTGTAATCCCAGCTTCTCTGGAGGCTGAGGCAGGAGAATTGCTTGAACCCGGGAGGCAGAGGTTGCAGTGAGCCGACATCGCGCCATTGAACTCCAGCCTGGGCAACAAGCAAAACTCCATCTCAAAAAAAAAAAAAAAAATGCTGAACTGAAACTCAATAGGGAAACTTTTTCAAAGAGGAAACATGATATGAGTGATTAAGTTAAATAAAGTTGAAGGGAATTACTGAAAAATATTTAAGGTAGTGTGTATAAAGATAAAAGATGTTGGAGCAGAATCCCATGTAATGATCTTGGAGGACTAAATTATTTCATTGATAACTGACTTTATATGCCTTTGGCAGTCACTGCTAAGCAGCCTGTGTTGTCTTGCAATGCTATGTCCATTTAAGTAACAACTCTAGTCATGTAGACAGAAAAGAAATTGTAATATAATAGATCATTTGGATCAGAAGTGTTTGTAAGAGTCACTAGGAAGCAGTAAGACTGAATTTAACTGTGTGCTATCTGCTGGGAAGCTTCATGTTCAAAGTAAAATATAAAAATAAAAATAAAAAAATTAATTAACCAAAAAATACTTTGTACAGTTTTTCTGTTTTGCACTCTCCCTTTTCTATTTTTTTCATTTCTGGCCTATCCCCATAAAAAGAGTAAGTGCAAGTATAACCTGAGCCACTTCTCTATTTAGTCCTCATCTTAGTCTTTCAAATTGTGCCCCACTGCATTGCCCCTTGCCATCTGGAAGCGGATATCAAACACAAAGTGCTAACCAGAATTCATTGTCTTATTGTTCAAAGCAATCTTGGAAAAAAGGACATGGGTGATTTTAAAAGGATTTATCAGTAATGAACAATATGGTTCAGAAACCTGTGATAATAGCTAATATATGCCCAGCTATGAGGCACAGAAATGTTTGCTATTGCCTGCTCCTGGGGGATCGTGTTAATCTCAGAGCTGGATCTCCAGCTCAAGCATCTTTATTAGTGTGACGCTAATCCACTGGAACTGAGCTCAAGAGAGGGCCTCAGAATGTGTTGCACAACAGCAGACGTGAGTCAGCGAGTAAACTGGCCCTTACAGTTTGTCTTCAGTTTAGAACCGGAAAGTTTCCTCTCCTTCAGAACCAGTCTGCCTCTGAATCACTTGATGGTCAAGATTGTGCTGTTGGAGTACTCAGGGAGAGCCACTGAGAAATATATAATATTTGCCAGTTGATCTGGATTTATATAACTCATATCTCTTGGGGATTTAAGCAACACTTGAGCCATTTTGTGCCACACTCCTGATGGGGGAATAAAAATGGAGTCAACCTCATTTTCTGCTCCTCTTAGTAGTGAAATGCCTCCTGATGATTTCTCATCCTTAACTTTTCTTTGCTATTATGAAGGGACTGACATCAAATAAGTGGTTAGCAATTTTGTAGAGCTGGGGAAAATTACTACTGAGGATATTTCAAGGTCCTTGTGATAGGCTGTTTTCTGAAGATATGTCTTCACTTTGAAACATTTCCTAGCAAAGCGAATGCTCCTGCATGCCAAGTTAGTATGACAGTGTATTTCTTATTGCATTGTCGTTATTGCTTAGCAGTAAAATACAAACGTCATGGCAGGACACATTATGTAATAGAACTCTAATCAGATTCTCTTTTCCTTTATGAAATACATCTCACTCATGATATATTCTCCAAAGTAATTAAGTTTTTTACTGTGGCTTGTGGAAATCTGAAACGATGAAAATTTCTCTCGTGAGCAATTGGATTATGCTTTGCTAAATGAAGCATTTAATAATCGAACTGGTCTTTCTGCACATTTTTAGAAAAATTAGATTACAATTAGTGAAAACAAGAGAGAGAAAAAAAGGTCAAACTGCAGGCATTCAGCATGACCTTGCGCTCAGGTTTCTCCCTGAGACTTTAGCTCTGTAATAATGTTTTTTGTTGTTGTTGCTGGAGACAGAGTCATCTAGACTCTGTCATCTAGGCTGGAGTTCAGTGGCACAATCTCAGCTCACTGCAGCCTCTGCCTCCCGGATTCAAGCGATTCTTGTGCCTCAGCCTCCCAAGTAGCTGGAATTAGAGGCGTGCACCACCACAGCCAGCTAATTTTTGTAATTTTTAGTAGATGTGAAGTTTCATCATGTTGCTCAGGCTCGTCTCAGAACTCCTGGCCTCAAGTGATCCATCCACCTTGGCCTCCCAAAGTGCTGGAATTACAGGCTGGGCATGGTGAGCCACCGTGCCCAGCCATGTAATATTGGTTTTAAATCACTTTTAGCTTTATAGTAAGTGGTGTTAATAACTAAATGAGTAAACCTTTAAATCTTGAAATATGTATACAAATATGAGTATATGTATATATATATAAAATTAGAAAATACATTTGATTTTACAGGAAAAAAAGATAGTATGTGATTTTAAAATTCATTGCTACATCTCAGTGATATTCAGAAAGGGATGTAGGTTCTGCTGTTATATTACTTCACTAATGTGTTTTTAACTAGTTACTGTAGTTCCCACAATAAGCAAGTTAGTTAACGTATAGGCATATTTGAGTGTCAGAATTAGGCCCATTTCTTCTCTGTGTCAGTACAAGGGTTATTATGACTAACTCTTGAGTATCACAATTATGATTCACCAGCACAGTTTAAATTGGAGACCCCTAATTATATCCTTCTCACTTCAAGGGAGACTTGAACTGCCAAATGGAAAGCCAAGGAAGCAATGGCATATTTTCATTCGAATTTTATTAGTATTTCTGCTAGACTGTCCTCTAATAAATGCAAACTACATTTACTGTCCTTTCAGATGAAAAAGACTCTTTAGGTCCAATGTTGTCTTGTTTCTCAAGTTTCCATTAGTGTTCTTTCCATTTTCTTATATGGGAATTTTCTAGTCCTTTTGATGGGCAGTTTGTTTTAGCAGCTGGGAGCTTTTTTCAGCCTGCAAAACAATTATTAGTCGTATCGGTCCATCATAAGTTTTTAAGATTCCCAAGCTGTAAGTAATCATTTTGACCTACCACCCTTATTGCTCACTGTTGAAATATCCTTGGCTGTAGTATGCTCTCTTCCTTTTTCTCTTTGCTGGTAATTCTTTTGGAATGGGAAGATGAAGATCCTTTTACAAACAAGTTTTCAAGTTGTGTCTTAAATTGAAAACAAAGTCCTCTGCTTGGATTCTTGGCATAGTCTGGGTTTTTCCTCATTTATCCATTTACATTTCCCAGTACCTCCATTTGTAATTTTCAAATCATCAAAATCTGTTCCACCACCTGAATCAACATCCAACCATGTTGCAGGGCCTTTGTGGGAATGACCTTATTTGATTTTGGAAACTGGTCACAAGACTTAATATAACAGCATGTAGTTGTTTTACTTCTATCATTCTCATATTATAGGAAAGAAAATATCTTCAACAGGGAAGGAGAATTGCCTGTTGGCTAGACCCTGAGTGGGAGGTGAAGTTTTCTGTGCTTGTCAGTGGGTTCCTTTTGTGTAGAAACACAGTTATCCCCTCCTCCTGCTCCACCTAATGTATTCCTCTAGAATTCCTATCCGTTTTCCTCCCCCTCTACACAACAAGACCCTAATTATATTTTTTCTGCAGTCACCATTTGCATGTTCTTGACTGCATAATGTTTTGCTTACAGCATCAAAAGGACTTTTTATCTCTTGTTCATGATGAATATTGTCCCAGTTAATTTATGTGTGTCTTTATGGTATCTCACGCTGCGTGACTCTGACTGGTACTGGGAATGCCATTCTTCTCTCGTTCTCATGCTGATGTGACTAGGGTTAACCACTTACAACCCAGCCCTTCTGTTAGACCACTTACAAGCAGTACAAACTAGGCAGTTGCTGTATGGTTTTAAAATGTAGCTTTTAATTGTGTCAAAGTTATGCATGCACATAGTATGGCTAGTTGTTGATTTTTCTGTTGGAGATATTAAATACACGTTTTCTACTATGGAAAATGATGATTCCACTCTCTTTCATTGCTCACTTCTCCCCACCCCCATACTTCCTGTCCTTCTCTATTCTTTCATTGTATCATAGTTTCAGCTACACCAATGTTTAGGGTTTATATTTTTGTGACTTTGTACATGCTATTCACAGCTGAACTATGACATGACTGCATTTTTTAAAAATAACATTATTTTGTTATCGCTTGATTTAATAAATGTAATTATCTCTTGAGTGGGGTGGGGCTTAGTTTTCTGTGCCTTAAAATTAGGCAACTCTAACCTTTCCCTTTGTTGTATAAATCTCTTAATACAAAACACTTAAGGAAAAGCTTTAAATGTCCTTTCACCATTATCCACAAGAGTACTATTGCCTGCCTTGTTTTTCCCCTCTTGCCTGGGGTCTCATGACTTACTCTTCAGTTATTATCTATTTTTGAGGCCTTGGGTGTTTCAGTATATGTATGTTCATATTGCTCTTACCCTTGATTAGTAGTTTGGCTGGGCCAGGCACAGTGGCTCGTGCCTGTAACCCCAATACTTTGGGAGACCAAGGCCAGTGGATCTTTTGAGGCCAAGAGTTTGAGACCAGCCTGTACAACATGGCAAGATCCTGTCTGTACTGAAGATACAAATCTAGTACCTGTAGTCCCAGCCACTTGGGAAACTGAAGCAGGAAAATCACAGGACCCCAGGAGGTGGAGGTTACGGTGAGCCAAGATTGCGCCACTGCCCTCCAGCCTGGGTGACAGAGTGAGACTCTGTCTCAAAAAAAAAAAAAAATGTTTTTCTTTCTTTTGGCTGAACATTGACAAGAACTCTGGGCTGGAAATACTTTTCCCTAAGAACTCTGAAGAAATGTCTTCTGTGTCTCGTATTTCTGTCGAGCAATTGAGTTGCTTGATACTTTTTACATATCACTTGCTTTTTTTTTTTGCCCTGGAAACTTCAGATAATTGCTTTGTTCCCAGTATTCTGAAATCTCACAGTAATCAATGTACCTTGTGTGAATCCACTTTCAATCTTTGTGCTGGGTTCCCAGACAGCCATGTACTTGGAAACAATCTTTCATTTCTATGAGGTTTATTGAGATTTTTCAAAAAATTTCCTTTCCTTTGTTTTCTCATTCTGTTAGATGTATTTATTTATTTATTTATTTATTTTTGATATTTGACAGGTCTGCCCTTTTTCTACTCTTTTTGCTACTATTTTCTAGGTCTTTGACCTTTTTTCTAGTTTCTGAAAGATAATCTTAGCTTTCTCTTAATGCTTCCATTGAGTTGTTTACTTTTTCTATCATATTTTTTATTTCTAAGAACTCTTTATTTATGAAATATTTTTGTAATATTCTCTTCCCTCCCTCCCACTTCTGTTGCAGTATCTTTCACCACTAGAGATAGCTATGATGCGATTTTTTTCTTTTGAAGTTTTGGGTTTATCCTTTGCTCCTCTTTCCTCACATCCAGAGTTATTCTCCATGCATGTGGGCAAAAAAGGTGATGTCCTTTGAGTTGAACTACAGACACTTTACCTTTAATCCACTAATTTTTTTCCACCAAATCTGACATGTAGTTTGTGATCTTCACTTCTTATCAACAGTGTATGATCCCTGCTTTGTTCAAGACCTGGCTCCAAGTCGACCTTCCACAAAGTTTTGCTATAGTCTAGACCAAAACTCCTTCCAAACCCAAACTTCCAGTCACCACACAAACTACTTCTGTAGGTTCATGTGTCCATTTCACTGTGACAGCTCATTTATGCTTTTCATGTGTGCCTTTGTGATTGCTCTGTATTTGTCTTATCCACTTTGCTAAGGAAGAAAAGCTGTATCATATCTATATCCCTGTCAGTCCTCTGAAGCCCCACAAAATCAAAACCATTTTTATAATGATACCAATATATTATTCACATCTTTCACACATTCTCTGATAATTTTACAGAAGAGTTTTCTAGAGTTTAAAGATGTACGATCATTAAAGAGATTTGCAAGAGTATAAAACAATACTATCCTTCTCACTAATTTTTTTGTTAAATAAATACATAGGATGTTTTGTTTTAATTTCTTAAAATAAGTGTCCATAGATTGAACCTCCATAAACAAAAACTCCCTTTGGAATGCTTGGGAATTAGGATTCCAAAGAGTTTTTGGATTAGGATCCAAAACTTTGGAATTAGGGTTCCAAAGTTTGGGATCCTAATTACAAATGTACATTTTAAGTGTCAAGAGATCATGAGACCAAAAAGTTTAGCACATGTGTCCTGAAGCTGTAGATATACATATATGGCTCATTGCATCTATTAAATATTTAAATACTCTGCAATAAATTCTTTTTTATTTATTTTTATTTTTTTGAGACGACGTTTTACTCTTGTCCCCCAGGCTGGGGTGCAATGGCATGATCTCTGCTCACCGCAACCTCCACCTCCCGGGTTCGAGTGATTACCTCAGCCTCCCAAGTAACTGGGATTACAGGCACCCCACCACCACCATGCCCAGCTAATTTTTTATATTTTTGATAGAGACGGGGTTTCATTGTTTTGGCAAGGCTGGTCTCGAATTCCTAACCTCAGGTGATCCACCCGCCTTTGCCTCCCAAAGTGCTGAGATTACAGGCGTGAGCTAGCGCACTCGGCCTGCAGTAACTTATTTTAAAAGAGACATCCCTTCTTATTCCCCTCCACCATCTTTATTTGTTTGTTTATATTTGTATATTCTCCTACATTCTTTGGCGATGCTCTGTGGATGTTTTTTCCTATCTTAGATAAAATAGAATTTAAGTTTTGATTGTTATACTCTCAGTATTTATTTATTTATTTGACTGTTATTTTGAATTGTTTTATTTTAGATGAAAAAGAGAAATTCGAACCCACAGTCTTCAGGGATACACTTGTCCAGGGGCTTAATGAGGCTGGTGATGACCTTGAAGCTGTAGCCAAATTTCTGGACTCTACAGGCTCAAGATTAGATTATCGTCGCTATGCAGACACACTCTTCGATATCCTGGTGGCTGGCAGTATGCTTGGTAAACCATGCATTATTGCTTCTTGTAGTATATTTATGTATTTTTAATTCTATTGAGGTATTTCCTTATAAGATAGAGTCTTTATAAGTTTATGTTTATTAGAGTGGATAGAAATACAAATGGAAGCCTATAATTTTTACCTGATTTATGATTTGGAATAGTATTAATGCGGATGTGAAGTAATGATTGGTTAATAGAGGCATAGGACGGAGGACTTTGGTTAACGGTACAATGAAGTCGGCCGCTTTGCTTTTCCTAAAAGCCACCTTTCTCATGTGTCCATAATCTGTCAATGTTTTTGGAGGGGCCATAAAAGGGGTAATTTCTGCAAAAGAGTGTAACTTAGTGTATAAATTTCCAAGGTTTAATTAATGACATTTCATCCATAAATAAAACTTACAAGAAATATAGTTTAAACCTGGTTTTTGAAAAATCATTTAAATTGTAAGTATAGGTAGAAAAATTAAAGATAGAAGATTAGAAATTGTTAAAGATAGGTAAAAACAAAATAAAAGCTATACCTTTTAGAACAGAGGCATCAGGAAAGAAGGCTTCAGAATACTATTTAAGTTTAAGTAGACGATTCTAATATTTATTAAGTATAACAACCACCCATTTTTCCTCTCATAGTCAGTTTTAGATCTGAGTTCTTATAGTTAGTTCCTGTGGTAGCTGTAAATCACTAGAGATGGTCGAATTTCCTAGGCCAGGAATTTTTAGTTTGCAAATGTGTGCAAGTGTTTCAGTTGTTAAAAAGACTTGAGGGGGGAGGGCAGGTATGTGTCTACTCTGCTATGCAAAGAACATGCAACATCATGAAACATTGCCTTGCCCAAAGTGCCATCATTGTCTTTCCTTGAGAAAACACTGCTTAAGCCAGCCTACCTTAGCTTTGAAAAAGAATGTGCATACATTCCTCCGTCTTGAGGTGGAACTGCCCATAAATTCCTTTTTCTCTGAGCTCTTATTTCAAGCAATCTGTTTGGTACATGGCCCAATTGACTACTAGGCCTTCTGTCATTCTGCATTGCTAGTTTTCACCACATAATGAATTAGTTTTGTTGTTCTTATTGTTATGAAGAGCTTACATAATGACTGTAGATAATTCAAGTATAACAGCTACCTATATTGAACTCAAATCCTATTACCTGAAAATAATCATTGTTAACATTTTGGTTATTTCCCTTCTAGAAATCTCTTTAGCAGCTGGGCGTGGTGGCTCACACCTGTAATACCAACACTTTGGGAGGCTGAGGCGGGTGGATCACCTGAGGTCAAGAGTTCGAGACCAGCTTGGCCAACATGGTGAAACCCTGTCTCTATTAAAAAAAAATACAAAAATTAACAGAACGTGGTGGCGGCTGCCTATAACAATCCCAGCTACTAGAGAGGCTGAGGCAGGAGAATCACTTGAACCCAGGAGGCAGAGGTTGCAGTGAGCTGAGATCGAGCCACTGCACTCCAACCTGGGTGACAGAGCGAGACCCTGTCTCAAAAAAAAAAAAAAAAAAAAGGAACTATCTTTACCTCATAAACTTTTGAGAATGGGTGGTATTATGCAAATATGATATTATGCATGCTGATTTGTATTTATTCAGCAATATGTTGCTGCCTTGCACACCCATGAGTGTTATACTGGATGATTCTAAAAAGAATTAAAGCCGAACGGATGTTAAAGAATATTTAGAGGCCGGGGGTGGTGGCTCACGCTTGTAATTCCAGCACTTTGGGAGGCTGAGGTGGCCAGATTACCTGAGTTCTGGAGTTCAAGACTAGCCTGACCAATGTGGAGAAGCCCCGTCTCTACTAAAAATACAAAATTAGCTGGACATGGTGGTGGGTGCCTATAATCCCAGCTACTCAGGAGGCTGAGGCAGGAGAATTCCTTGAACCTGGGAGTCGGAGGCTGCAGTGAGCCTAGATCGCGCCATTGCATTCCAACCTAGGCGACAAGAGTGAAACTCTCGAGAAAAGAAAAAAAAAAGAATATTTAGGCTGTTTGCAGTCGTTGCTATTATAAACAACGGTTATGAGTGTCTGTATGCACCTATCTTTGTGCTTTTACCTGATTACATCTTTATCTACTTAGCAAGGGATTAATGGATTAAATAAAAGATGGAGACATTTTTATCTATATCTATCTCCATTTACCTAGCTGAGAGAGAAAAAGTCTTCAAAAGGAACATTATGTTTAATATTTTATCAAAAATTATGAGTTCCTATTTACATACACCTTTAACAATGTTAGCTACCTAATTTCATCAGTTTTCTAGATATCTGAAATTAGGTAAGTGATAAGTATTTTCATTTTAAAACTTTAATAGTGGAGTTGAATATTTCCTAACATATTATTGACTTGCAGTATTTCATTAATTATGATATATTTTTATCAGAGTGATTTTCAGCGAGTTTTGGTTCTTGTCAAAGTCATGTGATTGTAGTAGTTGCTTATATGGACCCTTTTCAGACTGAGTGACCTCCAGGCAGCACTGTTGGCCCTTTTGTCATTCTTGAACTCTTTTATTTTCTTCCCTTACACGAGACCACTTAGACCTCCTCCTACCTCTCTGGATGCCACTTCTTACATTACTCCTGGCTTCCATCGTTAACCACCTCCCCATATAAAATAATCTGTGTACTTTGTATTGAGTTTCTTAAAATTTCATTTACCATGATCAGCAGATTTATATCTGCAGCCCAGATTTCTTTTTTTTTTTTTTTTTTTTTTGGCAGTTACAAGATTTAATAGAGTGAAAACAGAGCTCTCATACAAAGGGAGGGGACCCAAAGAGTGTAGCCGTTGCTGGCTCGAATGCCTGGGTTTATATCCCAATCATTGTCCCTTCTACTGTGCTCTCAGGCGATAGATGATTGGCTATTTCTTTACCTCCTGTTTTTGCCTAATTAGCATTTTACTGAGCTCTCTACTACCTGATTGGTCGGGTGTGAGCTAAATTGCAAGCCCCATGTTTAAAGGTGGATGCGGTCACCTTCCCAGCTAGGCTTAGGGATTCTTAGTCGGCCTAGGAAATCCAGCTAGTCCTGTCTCTCAGTCCCCACTCTCAACAGGAAAACCCAAGTGCTACTGGGGAGGTTGGCCGACGACTGCTCTAACTACTTCCTGCTGAACTGGGGTATAGTAGGTGTTGTGCAGTTGAGATTTCCTTGGGAGGGGTGCCTTCTATGTCATTAACATCAGAATATGAGCTAGCAGGCTGGTCTAGGGGTTCTTGGTAGATCTTAGTCATGGACTGCATCTGGGGCTCCATTTGTATTTAAGAACCATTTGTAGTTTTACAGCTTCGATTCTGGAAGAGACAGAATTAACAAGGAGGTTAAAGATACAGGGATTGAAATGTATGGACCGCAGTGCAGAGAATTATTTCTTTGGTACACTTCACAGGCCCTGACTATCTGCTTGATAGTTTTGAAAAGGCCTGGTCCAGTAAATAATAATTTGGCCATCTGATGGGTGCTATCAATGCCTAAGTGAAAGGTTTGGTGAAGGGTTTTAAGCAATTTCCATTGGTTAGTGCAGCCCAGATTTCACTTCACTCCATGTCTATACATTCAAGAAGAACATAGGGCCAAATGTTTGGTATGACTTGCTTAGCATAAGCTGTACAACACCAGATGTCTGCTGAGTCCGGACACGTAACGTAAGGACTGAAGCCTGCTAGGTACATTTTTCTTATATAAATACTTTGTTTAATTATTGTGTAGAAATTTTCTTGACACTCACAATTTATCTTCTTCCATTGTTCTTTTGTTTTTGTTTTTGTTTTTTTTTGATGTTGTCCAGGCTGGAGAGTTGGCTCACTGCAACTTCTGCCTCCTGGGATCAGGCAATTCTCTTGAGTAGCAGGGATTACAGGCATGTGCCAGCATGTCCAGCTAATTTTGTATTTTTAGTAGAGACGGGGTTTCCACCATGTTGACTAGGCTGGTCTCAAACTCCTGACCTCAGGTGATCTGTCCCAAAGTGCTGAGATTACAAGTATGGGCCACCACGCCCAGCCCCATTGTTCTTAAAACAGCAACTATCTTGGTCTTTCAATATTACCTTGTGTATAGTAAATACAATAAATATATTAAGTTTACTTCTACCTTGAGAAAAACAGCAGGCACTCCAAAAGCATTAGAAATGGCAAACAATACTTGGTCCTAATATCAGCAAAAATTTTAATGCAAGCTGTAGCAATATTATTAATATATAATGTGTTTTATTTCATTAAACAATGTAACTTTAAAAACATACCTCTCAAAAGTCTGTAGTTTCAATATCAAACTTCAGTTTTGTAATTTCTATCAAAAGCAATAGCAATAATTAGCCCAGAGGTTTTAGAAGATTATTATCTAAGTTTGTTCCATATCAGGGGAACCAGCCCCCAATATTTCAACGTAGGTTCTTTTCTATTCTCCCTAAGTGTTGGCTGGTCTGAGATATAAAGAGAAAGAGTACAAAAGAAAGAAATTTTACAGCTGAGTCTCTGGGAGTGACATCACATGTTGGCCTGAGCCGCAAAACCAGCAAGTTTTTATTAGCGATTTTCAAAGGGGAGGGAGTGTACAAATAGGGTGTGGATCACAGAGATCACATGCTTCAAAGGCAATAAAATATCACAAGGCAAATGGGGACAGAGCAGATCACAAGGCCAGGGCGAACTTAGAATTACTGATGAAGGCCCATGTCCTGCTGGGCACACATTGTCATTGATAAATATCTTAACAGGAAACAGGGTTCGAGAGCAGACAACCAGTCTGACTAGAATTTCGCCAGGCTGGAATTTCCCAATCCTAACAAGCCTGGTGGCACTGCAGGAGACCAGGGCTTATTTCATCCCTTATCTACAACTGCATAAGACAGACAATCCCAGAGAGGCCATTTTAGAGACCTTCCCCTGGGAATGCATTCATTTTCCCAGGGTTTTTCCTTGCTGAGAAAAGAATTCAGCGATATTTCTCCTATTCGCTTTCTGAAAGAAGAGAAATATGACTCTGTTCTGCCCGGCCCTGCAGGCAGTCTGACTTTATGGTTATCTCTCTTGTTTCCTGAAAATCACTGTTGTCCTGTTCTTTTCAAGGTGTCCAGATTTCATATTGTTCAAACACACATGCTTCACAAACAATTTGTGCAGATAACGCAATCATCACAGGGTCCTGAGGCGACATACAGCCTCAGCTTACGAAGATGATGGGATTAAGAGATTAAAATAAAGACAGGCATAGGAAATTATAAGAGTATTGATTGGGGAAGTGATAAATTTCCATGAAATCTTCACAATTTATGTTCAGAGACTGCAGTAAAGACAGGCATAAGAAATTTTAAAAGTATTAATTTGGGGAACTAACAAATGTCCATGAAATCTTCACAATTTATGTTCTTCTGCCGTGGCTTCAGCCGGTCCCTCCATTCGGGTTCCCTGTCTTCCCGCAACAGTTCCAGGTGGTTATATTCATTTAAAAGGGCTAATTAAATCTCATGCATAAATTAATTGAGTGAAAATAGACTCCTAAAGGGGCTGACTTCTCCAAAAACTAATTTACTTACTAAACCATATGCTGAAGTCTGAAACCCATAGAGGGGATGATAAGCTAAGGAAAGTATAACTCAATTGAATTCTCATTTGCCTATATCTGCTGAAAAAGGTGAGTATGGGTGGCCCTTTTAATCCAGAGATCTGAAATCACAAGTTAAATCAAGGTGATTATACACTAATACACAAACAAATAAAGGGAGTAGCTAATGAGTAGAGAGTGTTTGTCTTTTCAGCTTTGACCATTATTGTATCCTCGGTGCCTAGCACAGTAGCTGGTGTAAGTATATACACTACAAACATTTGTTGTGTATATGAAAGATATTAAGCTAACTGCTCAAACCTTCTACCTTAATTACAAACAGAAATTAGAAACCTTCTACCTAAATTAGAAAACAGAAATTCCTAATGTTCTCATTCTGCTCTTCTAATCAACTAATACTTCTAATGGCTACCACTGAAACTTATAGGAGGACCCTTTGAATATGGAAAGTTAATTGAAGAAAAAGGCATCTAATCTATTGAGTCCATGGGAAAAAAAAAATGAGAGAGAATAAAATAATTTCTTCTAGCCAACATAGCTGCTGGGTGATTAAATTCAAATAGCGAGCATCAGAGTCCATGCTATTCAACCAGTCATGGATAACTAGGTTAGCGAAGGAGGAAGCAATTGTAATAGCTACTCAAGTAGAAAGCAAAAAGATCTGAGTCAGGTCTGGTCAGTTCTGTAGTTGGTGATATCTAGGTAGAGTATCCACAAAATACTTGCAAAATGTTAGCAAGCCTGAAGAAACAACTATGTCCTGGAGTGGGAAGTATCTGGAGTTGCATTGAGAATAATGAAATTAAATTTACTGAATAAAGGTTGTTCTTTGCTTCCATGATTAAGAATATACTTTGGAAAGAACCAGACTTACAGTGATAGGATGTAGTGAAGTTGAGGATGTGGAACTAAAATGAAGTATACTGTGGTGGGAGCATGAAATGAAACAACTAATTTATATTATATTGGAAACATGAAGTATACAAGGCCAAGTACAGTGGCTTAAGCCTGTAATCCCAGCACTTTGGGAGGCTGAGGTGGACGGATCACAAGGTCAGGAGTTCGAAACCGGCCTGACCAACATGGTGAAATCCCATCTCTACTAATACTATAAATTAGTTGGGCATGGTGGTGCATGCCTGTAATCCCATCTACTCAGGAGGCTGAGGCAGGAGAATTGCTTGAACCTGGGAGGTGGAGGTTGCAGTGAGCCAAGATTGTGCCACTGCACTCCAGCCTGGATGACAGAGCAAGACTCCGTCTCAAAGAAAAGGAAAAAATATACAGCAACTTGTGTACATCTATGTGTGTCATTCTTTGACATTTTATGTGACTCTTAGATTTTACATCTACTTTCATTATTTTCTTTCATTTGCCAGAATCGATCTGTTCTGCAAATGCTGTTCTCAATTTCAGTATTATCCTAACTATAATTACCTTTCTCTTTTCAGCCCCTGGAGGAACACGCATAGATGATGGTGACAAGACCAAGATGACCAACCACTGTGTGTTTTCAGCAAATGAAGATCATGAAACCATCCGAAACTATGCTCAGGTAGAGCCTATTTGAGAGATTGCCCTGGAGTCAGAAGGGAAGCATTTGAAGAGGATTGAGGAAAACTCTATAGAAGCTCTACAGCCCACCCACTTTTTAAATAGGAATTTTAGAAAAAGCCTTTAAACATATGAAAATAATGGGCATTAAAACTACAAAAATAGGCCTAGCAGAGTGGCTTGAGCCTATAATCCCAGCACTTTGGCCATGGTGGGTGGATCACTTGAGGTCAGGAGTTTGTGACCCGCCTGGCCAACATGGTGAAACCCCATCTCTACTAAAAAATACAAAAATTAGCTGGGTGTGGTGGTGGGTGCCTGTAATCCCAGCTACTTGGGAGGCTGAGGCAGGAGAATCACTTGAACCCAGAAGACAGAGGTTACAGTGAGCCGAGATCTTGCCACTGCTCAACCTGGATGACAGAGTGAGACTCCATCTCAAAACAAAACAAAAAGAACTACAATAATATAATGCTTTTTCTTTTCTTTTTTTTTTTTTGTTAACCTCTCATGGGAATTTATTCTTGGATCAGGAGAATTCGTTTTTCTTGTATACATGTTAAAGAATATGTGAGTATTAGTGTAAATTGGAAATAAACTTTATGGGATTTTAATGTAATTTATTTCTTTTGCTTATCGTGTGTTAATTCCCTGCCTGGGTCATTCTTTCCCCATAAAGGGCAATTATTATTTTTACTCTTGGAGTCTATCTTGATTACATTAGGAAACGAATACACCAAGAGTTGTAAGTAGGAGTATAGCCTGTGTATAGAAGAAAAAGGAACTAGATCAAGAAATCATTTCCACAGTTATTACAATAACCAATATTTACAAAATCCCCATTTAAATAAAAACATCATTCCACTTAAGACTGTCTAGATCCTAATACAGTTGCAAACTCTGCTTCACAGTTCTAATACAACCATAGGGGCCAGTCATCCTTTACTGCCAGTAAATTGTAACATTTTTTGCTCATCTGCTAGAAACATGTTTGTTGTTTACCTAGAGTAGAATCTGTCCTGCACTTTACTCTCCTCCCCATCATATCATTATCTAAGTGGTTATATCTTTATAATGAATGAATTTGTTTTATCTTACATGTACATTTTGATCGTATTTGTTCCCCTAGGTCATGGTAGCATCTTTGAAATGCTTATAGTTTTTATATTACATGTGAGCCTGTTTAACTATACACTTTTTTTATTGTAGATCTATGGTGTCATTACGGTGAGTTTCTGTACCTCCTTCTATGTCTTTTTGGTTGACCTAATATTTAATGGTTCTGTTTTATGTTTAGGTCTTCAATAAACTCATCAGGAGATATAAGTATTTGGAGAAGGCATTTGAAGATGAAATGAAAAAGGTAAAAATTCAAATATAATGCCTATCTGTTTTATAGTAATGAAATAGAGGTGGATAAAAATTTTATAAATGGCCGGGTGTGGTGGCTCACATCTGTAATCCCAACATTTTAGGAGGCCGAGATGGGTGGATCACAAGGTCAGGAGTTCAAGACCAGCCTGACCAAGATGCTGAAATCCCGTCTCTACTAAAAACACAAAAATTACCCAGGCATGGTGGCCTATAATCCCAGCTAATCGGGAGGCTGAGGCAGGAGAATCGCTTGAACCCAGGCGGCAGAGGCTTCAGTGAGCCAAGATTGCTCCACTGCACTCCAGCCTGGGCGACAGAGCAAGACTCCATCTCAGAAAAAATAATAATAAAATAAAATAAAATTTTACATGTACAATGATATTCCAAAAGTGCCATATACGTGGTAACATGTAGTGAGTTTTTAATAAATGTTTGGTAAATAAATGAGTATGAAAGATCATTAGCTAATAGCTATAGGAAGAAATATGTGATTATTCTGGACTTTTTCTATTAATATTTAATGTAAGACAGTGTGCTTTGTTCAGTAAGAATAGTTTTATGGGGTATAATCTCTGACCGTGCAGAGGTTAAAATGAAAACTAGAATCAAGATAAAGTGGTTTAAGTAGTTAAAGCCTATGAAAGAACATAGCACAGCAGCTAATGTTCAGCAAAATTCTTTAATGCTTTGCAGTTTAGCAAAGAGAATGGAAGCACCTCTTTGGAGATAGAGTGTATGGGTGTAAATCTCAGTAGTCTTTCTCATCAGTGAAATAGCTGTAGTAAGAGGATATACCTTATGGTTGTTGTGGGAATATATGAAATAACATATAAGGAGCTCAGTGTAATAATTGGTCTCTAGTCAAATCAACAGTAGCATCTCCTTAAAGATGTCCTCTTTAGAGTAATTGCACGTTCCCTCTTCCAGTTTGTAACTCCTGTATTTATATATAGCACCCACTACCTTTACCTGTTTCAGATTTGTTTGTTACTTTGTCATTGCTTCTAGTTTTAGATATCTATCTAAAAGTAAAACACCAAGTGAAAAAAGTAACCATAACATATACTTACTTCTTCCCTACTTACTTACTCTCCCCACTCCTCCCCACACTAACTGCCCCCCTCCCCACCCAGTTTAAAGTGGTTCCGTGTATAATATTGAAGAGCAAGTTGACAATAGTCATTAAAAGAAATGTTTCTTATATAACCCATGCCCCGGCCTTCATGGATTTATAAGAATCCATTAGCATGGATATATAAAGCTATATGTATAAAGATGTCACCACAGTATTGAAAAATAGCCTAAATGTTCGTTGGTAGGAGATGAAGACTGGTTAATTAAATTACAATCTATACAGTGGAATACTATGCAGTCTTTTATACATGTAGGCATAACTACATGTATTAATAAGGGAAAATGCCCATGACAAATTAAATGGAAATGCGAGGTGCAAAGCAACCATTTGGTAGTAGTTTGACCTGGGGCAGGCAAATTACTTAATATCTTTGTACCTTAGTATTCTTTTCTGTAATTGGAGATGGAGCCTGTTGTACTTATTAATACACATAAAGTGATCAGAAGAGTTGTCTGGCCCACTCCACAAGTTTTAGCTATCATTAGCATGTAATGCAGTGAAAAACAATATGTGTGTATACATGTAATTATGTTTTAATGTTGATTAATATAATTGAGCAATGTGATTATTTTTATAATGACCTAATTTTTGTGCCATTTCTATGTGATTAAGTATATTTTAAATGAATATGGTCATATGCGTGAACTTGAAGAAGTGGTGTTAAAATTTTATTTTAGAGGCTATTTTTTATTATTCTCATTTAAATGTTATTTTTATAATGGAGAAAAAGGACAAATTGACATGAACTGTCTATACTTATGTTAGTTCTTTCATTCTTCCCCATTCTTGATGCTCCTTGGAGCTTAAGCCTTTGAAACCCTCATTCCCTCACTCCCTGGCACCTACTTAGATGTTAACTTCTTTTTAATTTGTTGAGAATTTAATAGGTATACATTGAGAGGCGAATGGACTGGTTTGGTTCCAGTTCTGCCACTTTCACATAATGTAAATAGTCTATAATGTAATAATCCTTAAATTATTGGGGAATAGTAAGTTAATATTTTCTTACCCCCTACGCAGCTAGTGGAATAATCACGTCATCAGGATGGAGACACTTAAGTCTCTATCAATGCCAGTGAATTTTGCATTGGCACAAAACAATGGAAAATCAGCAAGACTCCTGTAGTGATAGTGGCCCCTGAGGAATTTCCATGGCAAGCCTAATAACTGGTGAAATGGAGAAAGTAACAGTAGAATGTAGTCAAAGCACAAAGCAGAGGAGAGTTAGGAGAGAGAAGGACATCCCACAGGGCTGACTACTATAGGAAAATATAATATAGGAAGTGAGTTTTTTGTTTTGTTTGCTTTGAGCTTACATTCAAATTTTTCTAGGGTTGCTACTTTTTCAGTTCCCTGCCTCTGGGGCAAGAGAATCTAAAAGTGTACCCAAAAAACATCAAGAACCTAGAAAACCCCTTTCTCCCTCAACAGCCTTGTTTTGAAGACTGTTGTATTCTGTGAGCTCAGAAAAGTATATATTAAATGTCAAAAGCTTAACTTCGACTCTTTCCTGGTTTTTTGTTTTTGTGGGGCTTTTTATTTGTTTGTTTTTGCAGTAAAAATTCTATTCAGAGAAAACGGGCATATGTAGCAGGGGAAGAGGTAGTCACCCAAAGAAGTGGAAAAACTTGAAAAACAATACATTTCAGAAAACATGTCCATCGTGTATACTTAACCCTTTTGCATGCACATAGTCAAACATAAATCCATCTGTTTACATATCATCCAAATATCTCTTTTCCTTTCCGTGAATGTTATCTACAGCTGTGAGTAAATGAACTGAGAAGAAAGGAACCTGCCTGCTCAAGTCACTTTCCACGGCATCCAATTTATCATGAAATGAATTACTATGCTTTGCATATGACCTTCTGTGTGTGTGCCACGTAGCCATGGATGTTCACACTGTTTATCTTCCCACTTCAGTCCTTTGCTTCATAGACATGGTTCCTTTTTTTTTTCTTTTCTTTTTCTTTTTTTTTTTTTTTTTTTTTGACCCACAGCTTCTCCTCTTCCTTAAAGCCTTTTCCGAAACAGAGCAGACAAAGTTGGCGATGCTGTCAGGGATTCTGCTGGGCAACGGCACCCTGCCCGCCACCATCCTCACCAGTCTCTTCACCGACAGCTTAGTCAAAGAAGGTAATGAGGCTCCTGTTTTCTCGCCTGTCAGACAACAAAGGAAAAATAAAGCCACAGATAGCTATAAAAATGCCAGTTGCTCCTTTTGGTATCCTCTACTACTCATTCTTCACATAAGAGAATATCTGTGTATGTGTGTATATTGCCTTTCAAATAATAAAAGGAGTAGACATGTTAATTGTAGGACATTTGAAGGAAAAAGATATGCACACCTGTACAAAGACATATTAAGAAAGACTAATAGCAAATTAAAATCTCATGGGAGACTTGATGCCTAGGTCAAATACCCTGAAATCGATTTGGTGACCTTTTTGCCCTTCAATACAAAATGGCAGCCTTTAACTCTCATCCCTGTTGTAAGAACAAAAACTGTTCCCCTCTCAAGGTCTAGAGAAAATGATGCTCAGATACTCATTTTGATTGCACTTTTTAAGATATTCATTGTCTCAATTTTAGAAAACAGTTTTAAGTCTGCTGCAATAGAAGGAGTCTTGTTTTAATTTTAAGGCATTAAGAGTTGGATAGGCATGCATACCATGATTTGGATATAGAATAAAACAAAAGTGGGCTGTTTACTTGTAGGAGGATAATGATAGTCAAATCACAATGCAGCACAAAACAGTTATTTTTCCTTAAAAACAAATTAAAAGAGCTTTTGTGCGAACATCTGTTTCTTCTGAGAACTTAAAAAGTTTTCCTCCTACGTATATGAAGTCCTAGCCTCATTCATGCCTATAGTGAAAGGGGTTATAGTTTTCTTGTAGCTAAGAAAAGAATAGTAAATTGAGAGTCAATTGGTCTTATTCAAAGACTCTAGTTTTTAGCTTAAAATCACTCAGATTTATGACAATTCAGACTCTGTAATTGTTGGATGTTATTAGTATTATGACATTTTAAAGTATTTCCCTGAAGAAAATTCACAGTACAACACACATCTTATTTTTGCTGTTAGCCATTTTGCACACAGAAAATCAACATAGTATATAAATGTTAACCATTAATTATTTTAAATTATCCTAGCCAACATAACAGAAAATTATTGCCTTTCTAGTTATTTTAAAAATCTAAATGATGTCTGTAACTTCCTTTGTAATATATCCAAATATTACATTATTAGATGGATAGATATGTGATAAAGCAAGTAAGGCAAAATATTAGTTATAGAAACTAGATGGTGGGCATGTGAGTGGTCATTGTTCAGTTTGTTCAGCTTTTCTGTATGTCTGGAAATTATTATAGTAAAATGTTTGGGGGATGGTGAGGAGAAAAATAACTTTGCTATGGAAGTAGTATAGTGCCTCTGTTATATGGCTTTTCCTTAAACTCTGCCATCTTTTACAAACTAGAGGTTTAAACTCTTGCTTCCTAATTGGAAAAGCATTGAGAAAATGGCTGGGTATGGTAACTCATGCCTGAAATCCTAACACTTTGGGAAGCTGAGGTAAGAAAATTGCTTGAGGCCAGGTGTTTGAGACCAGTTTGGGAAACATAGCAAGACTCTTCTTCTCTACAAAAAAAAAAAAAAATTAAAAACTAGCCAGGTGTGTTGGCACACCGTGCAATCCTAGCTGCTCAGGAGACTAAGGCAAGAGGATTACTTGAGCCCAGGAGTTTGAGGCTACGGAGAGCTATGATCACATCATCTTACTACAGCCTAGGCAACAGAGAAAGACTATCTAAGATAAAAAAAAAAAAAAAAAAAAAAAAAAAGAAATAACGAAAATAGTTAAGAAATTATCATTTTCCCCAACTCATCCAATACATGACCAAGGGAGATGGGATTATCCTACTCAGTAGAGGGGTAACTATAAAGTAAGTTAAATCTCAATTTTAGGCTCCTAGTTTCAAGCATAGTTTTTCTTTACTTACAATACAGATTACAGCCTAGTATTAATTTATATTAAATTTTGTATGAGCTAATGATAATGCTAAAAATTCATCTTAACAACTTGTTTAACATGAACTTTCAGTTAAGATGTAATGCATGTTTTGTTGTCATGGCCATTTTTTTTTTTTTAATTAGTTTCTCTGCTTATTCAAGGGAAGAAAATCAGGTTTAGTTGGTGTCTGTATGAATGATAGACGAATTAAATGCTTTGACTTTCCAGTTACTGGAAGACCTGGGTCAAATTGGTATATAAGGACATGTATTTCTTATGTAACAATAAATGGAAAATTAGGACAGACTTCAGGCTGAACAGAAATATCGTTCAGAACTTAAGTATTTTTCTCCTGTTATCATTCATAGCATTAACTTCATCCCAAGGATGCTGCCCCCTCTTGTTATAAGATGTATGCTGATACAGTTATGGCATAGTCTTCCTGGTTCCGGTTCAGTGAAAGAACACTTCTCCTGAACACAGGATAATTTATCTTTCCTTCAGCTGATTGGCTGACACAGACTGCATGACCAGTACAGGTCCAGTAGCAATTGCCAGGGGGGTGCCTTGGGCAGATGAGTTTAAGTGAGGTCACTAAATCAATCATCAGAAAGAGGTGGTACCAGAAGTTAGGCTAATGAGTAGTCACCTGGACTGGATAAAATGGGACCTCTTTTAGGAAAGAGGTAAAGAGAATAGAGGATGCTTAGGCCACATTATCATTAGCTCATAACAATAGTAGAACCTTCAGTTTAGAAAACTCAGTTAAATGTTTCAACTACATGTTAACTCTTCATTAAATAACCACAACATAAATTTAGAAATTTGAAGTGTTCATAGAACTGTCTTCTTCTTATCTGATTATTTCTATTTGGAAATAAGTGGTAATGTAAATGTGGACATGTGATTGAATGGTTTCCTGATTTAACATAACTAGCTTAATAACGATTTTTTTTAAATCCAGAAAAGTTTAACTTGAAACAGCCTTGATATTTTTATAGCTTAACTCAAGAATATTTTAAAATGCTTTTTATGGCTGGGCGCAATGCCTCATTCCTGTAATCCCAGCAATTTGGGAGGCCAGCACAGGTGGATCACCTGAGGTCAAGGGTTCAGGACTAGCCTGCCCAACATGGCAAAACCCTGTCTCTACTAAAAATACAGTAATTAGCTGAGTTTGGTGGTGCATGTCTGTAATCCCAGCTACTTGGGAGGCTGAGGCAGGAGAATCACTTGACCCCAGGAGGTGAAGATTGCAGTGAGCTGAGGTCATGCCACTGTGCTCCAGCCTGGGCAACAGAGTGAGACTCCATCCCCCAAAAAATAAAAATAGAAATAAATAAATAAATAAAATGCTTTTTATAAAAAGTAAAACTAAGGTAAATGATGTATGTTCATCTATTCGTAGCAGTACTTATTATATCTATCACTATCAGTGTTCTTGTACTGGCATCCTTTATTAGCAAATTACTTGATAAAGGTGACATTACAGTTTTGTGTCTCCTAATTTTCTTGTGCCTCAAGATCACTGTTATAAACATGAAATACATATGAACCAGAGGGTGAAATAAAGGCAATAACACCGAAGATACTGGGTGTTAAATATGTTTTTGACCAAGGTAAAATAACTTACAGTTAGACCAGGTTGGATTCAGAGAGTCCAAATTTGAAAAATACTTTAATTTATTTTCCTTTTCCTGAAAATGTTCTATTTTGAGTAACGAGAAGAGGAGAATTTGCCTAGAGGTCTATTGACTTTTCCTTTGTACCAAATTTAGTCTTTTAGTTATTTACCCACTTCAGGAAACCTGGGTGCTTTGCACACCATCACAATTGGTTTTGTTCATAAAAGGAATGAAATTCTCTTTTGTTTTTGACAGGCATTGCGGCCTCATTTGCTGTCAAGCTTTTCAAAGCATGGATGGCAGAAAAAGATGCCAACTCTGTTACCTCGTCTTTGAGAAAAGCCAACTTAGACAAGAGGCTGCTTGTAAGTGTTTTCTGGTTAAAGGGTTGTATGTATGATGCCTTTCTTGGAGCTTAAGCCATGCCTGCAATGTAGTGTATGAGTAATATCCCTGGATCTATGTTGACTTGGAGCACTGTTCCTTTTATTTCTGTGTAATTGTTAATAGAAACTGATTTCATTTTAATCTTTATTGTCACCAAATGGCACAATAAAATTAAAGAATTGTGAGGAATATAGACTTCCAAATTTGTAAGTTTGTTGACATAGTGTTAATATTTAATCAGAATTAAGACTTTCTTTTATAGCCATAACTTTTTTTTTTTGGAGACAGTCTGGCTCTGTCACCCAGGCTGGAGTGCAATGGCACAATCTCACTCACTGCAACCTCTGCCTCCTGGGTTCAAACGATTCTCCTGCCTCAGTCTCCTGAGTAGGTGGGATTACAGGCGCTCTCCACCACACCCAGCAAATTTTGGGATTTTTTTAGTAGAGATGGGGTTTCACCATGTTGGCCAGGTTAGTCTCAAACTCCTGACCTCAAGTGATCCGCCCACCTCAGCCTCCCAAAGTGCTGGGATTACAGGCGTGAGCCACCGCACCCAGCCTATAGTCATAACCTTCTAGACATTTTAAGGTTTTAATATGATAAAAATTTCATCAATCTCACTTAATCAAATACTTGTGATCTCTATTTTGAGTAGCAGTCAGACTGTGCTCATCTCAAATGTGTGTTAAATAGTTTGCTTAAAAAAAAAAGTTTAAACAAGATTGCCTTAGAAATACTTAAGCTGTTGCAGAAAGTAAACAAGTTAATTGTGTCACAGTTGCTTGATTATATTTTTATTTCTCCATCTTTGTGTATTTCTAAGAAAATCCAGAAAAATGTTTTGTTTTTATAATGTCTTTTTTTTTTTTTTTTTTTTTTGCCGTGCAATATCTCATTTTATTATTATTTTCTATGTGCTCCCTACAATTTCTTTCTTCTTGATGCAGCAGCTGTGAAATGCCAAGATTTATCCAGGTGGAACTGCTTTTACAGTTCTAGGATAAAGTGTAAAAATAAGACACATCCCTGCCATCTTCTTTTCACCTGGCCTTTTCTCTGTTGTTCTCTTCCAGTGTGTTTCAGTGTGCAAGGGTCCAATCCCATGAGATAATTCTAAGACTATCTCTCTTCCTCAAGAACACATGAAAGTAATTTTAAATGTAAATACTTGCAATTTAAATCACTTAAGAATACTTTGTTTCTTGACGTTTACCTTAAATAGATTTGTGTGTTTACAGTTTTTACATTATGGTAAAAGTCTAGGTTCTAGCTCATAATAATTTTCATTCCTCATATGTTTACTGAATGCCTACCCTGTGCTGGGCATGGTACGACAAGCTGCAGAGCCAGTAGAGAACAGGATAGAAAAGTTGCCTGCCCTTGTGAAACCTACTTTCTAGTGGACTTAGGGCAAATCCCTGTAAACAGAAGCAAAAGTCACAGAAGATAAGTGAATAGGTTGCTGAGGAAGGTGGAGGTTCATACAAAGGGAACATATTTCTTGTCCATGAGGCTGTGGGTTATCTATAGGTTAGCTCTATCTTGGCTAAGCCTGACTTAGTTCCACATGCCTTTTCATTCGGGCACAGGCTGAGGGAGCAGCTCCCATCTGGCCCATTCTGTCTTCACGGCAGAGTACCAGAACAGAGAGACTGAACTGAACCTCTCAAGTATCTTAAAAACTCACCTATGGATGCTGCCATACCTGGCAATAGACTGGGAAAATCCAGTCCACTAATAGGCTGCTTCTCCACCTCTGCAGATAGACATAGCAAGGAGGGGGTTCTCTTAATACTCTTGAAGTAGAGGAGGTGGATGATTGGGAAAAAAGATACAGTCTATCTGGTTATTTCTTAAAGCAGTAATTTTCTTAAAGATATTCACAACTATAGCCCGGTTAGCTTAATTAGGTGACTTCATTTAGAAAATTCATTTTCTTTTTGGAAACACATGCCATCTAGCTGTTTTTACTAGGTTTGTGTGTGTTTGTGTGTATACATGGAACATAGGTGGTGGTTTCTGCGAGAAACACATAAACTGGGTGAGAACAGGGTAGTTACCTATGCAGTATGCCTGCCTGATATTTGTTGAATCAATAAGAGAATGAGGAACTAGTGAGTCAGTTCCCACTCTTTAGGAGGAAATTTTGTTTCATGAACATATACAACAAAATTCGCTTTAACTCTGAACTACTACATTTTAGGAAAATTAGTGTATTACCAGAATTTAGCTCTCACCCACTATTATAACACAGAAGAAAGAACAATTTATAGCAACTCAGAGAGGAGAGGGAATGGGAAAAAACAACCCATATTACTGACAAAGCAAGTGGTGATTAAGAAATTAAAGATATTGCTCTCTTCCTTTATTTATTCAATAAGTATGTGTTGATTATATTATATGCTGGAAACTTCCAAGAGCTGGGGAGATTGAAAGGAACCAAACGAACCGACCCTTTCCTTCATGAAGCTTATATTCTATTTCAGGAGAGTGGGCCATAAACTAAAATGCATAAAACATGTATTATAATAAAGGTAAAAATTAAGTAGGGGCCCAGTGTGGTGGCTCACACCTGTAATCCCAGCACCTTAGGAGGCAGAGGCAGGTGGATCACTTGAAATCAGGAGTTCAAAACCAGCCTGACCAATATGGTGAAACCTTATCTCTACTGAAAATACAAAAAATTAGTTGGGCGTGGTGGTGCACACCTGTAATCCCAGTTCCTCGGGAGGCTGAGGCAGGAGAGTTGCTTGAACCCGGGAGGTGGAGGTTGCAGTGAGCTAAGATCACGCCACTTCCCTCCAGCGTGGATGACAGAGCAAGACTCCATCTCAAAACAAAATTAAGTAGGAAAGAGTTAGAGAGCTTCCAAATGTGGGCTGTGATTTTCAGTGGTGGAAAGCTCTCTGTGATAAGATGACATTTGTGTAAAGACTTGAGGGAGGTGTGGAGCGAACTGTTTAAGTATCCCCACATAGAGCATTCCAGGCAAAGGGAATGGGGAATGGGAAGGCCCACATTGGGGACAGCAAGGGGAGAGCAGGTAAGAGCGAAAGTTTAGATAAGCTCAGAGAAGTAGCAAGGCCCGTATCATCTAGGGCTTTAGCTTGTATTCCAAATGAGATAGAAAGCTTTTGAAAATTCTCTGCAGAATGGTGTATAATGTGATTTTGAGTCTCAACAGGATCACTCTTGCTGTTACTTTGGGAATAGACTCAGGAGCAAGAGCAAAAGCAGGGAGACCTTAATCTAGGGATGAGATGATAGAGATTTGTACCACGGTAGGGTTTCTCTAAAAAATACAAACCATGTTCCAAGTCAAAAAATGATATGGTATGATTCAGACTGGCTTCCCCTCAACTTAATCTGAATAATAATTTTCAATGTATTCTATACTATTCATAAGAATTTGGAATGTAGTTCATAAGTGATATGTATGAGTGATATGAACATAACTTTAAATCAAACTTTGCAGTCACAGTCTTCCTAAATAGAATATTGAGTGCCAGCACAGAGTAATGGAATAAGTATTGACTTTGGGGCACACAGCTCTGTTCTTAAATATTTTTGACAGCATAAATTGGGTCAAGCTGCTTAACCTTGTTGAAACTTAGTTTATCATCTACAAAAAATGTCTGCTTTACCCAGTTGTTATGAGGAAAGTGCCAGTACATTTTGATTCATAGAAGAAACTCAATAAAAGTACATTAGTTCCCTGCCCTGGAGATTTGGAAGATGTGGAGTGGTAGAGGAAATATCAGTGATGCAGTTTCAGTGTGGTATAAAATGTTTGCTTTATTATGAATGCATGTTTGATAGCTGCTCCCACTAGCTCTCTTCTGACATTTTGAAACATATGACTCAACAGGGGAAATTAATAGGATGATAGAACACTGAAATTTGAATCCTGACATAGGAGCCCTCCAGCTGTGTTCCTATAGGTGGTGGCAAACCCATTACAGATCTACTGAGGCTTTTCCTGGAACCACATAGCCATTGGCCATATGTATGCAAATCTAACCAATACAAAAGCCTGGATATATTTTTTAGACCCTGCAGCAGTCTGAAAAATGTGAGAGCTTTGAAAATCATCTTAATTTCATAGATGGGTGTTGAACTCACCCAGGATTAGATCGTGACTAAGTGTTACTGAGATTCTGCCAAACTGTGTAGGGTAAAATGGAAATGAGGTGAAAATATGAGAGCAGCTATGGTATATTGCTCTTTTTGAAAATTTCCATCAGAATTATGTAATAAACTAGAATTGGTATGGTGGGTGTCTTAGACCTTTTTTATTACTTACAACAGAACACCTGAAACTGGGTTATTTATACAGAAAAGGAACTTATTTCTTACAGTTATGGAGTCCCATGTCAAAGGGTTGCATCTGGTGAGAGCCTTCTTCCTGGTGGGGACTCTGCAGTGTCCCACGAAGGCTCAGAGTATCACATGGCGAGGGGGCTGAGTGTACTAGCTCAGGTCTCCCCTCCTCTTTTTTAAAGCCACCAGGTCCCCTCCCAACATAACCTATTAATCCATGAATGGATTAATCCATTCATGAGGGCAGAGCCCTTATAATCCAGTAACTCTTTAAAAGCCTCACCTCTCAATACTGGCACAATAGGGTCCAAGTTTATCTCAATTGCTTACCTTTTTTTCCTTTTCTTTGTGAAACTGCCTAATTTCAGAAGATGTTTAGCTCAATAGCTCAATAAATAAACCAGTGATTTGTTGTTTTGTAAAACAGTCTTATTCTTTTCTTCGAAATATGAGATATTCTAAGTGAAATGAAGATTTTGTCCTTTATGCTTGCCGAAATTGGAATGGCTTTGTGTATAACAGTCTCCCTTTTTCTCTTTCAGGAACTCTTTCCAGTTAACAGACAGAGTGTGGATCATTTTGCTAAATACTTCACTGACGCAGGTCTTAAGGAGCTTTCTGACTTCCTCCGAGTCCAGCAGTCCCTGGGCACCAGGAAGGAACTGCAGAAGGAGCTCCAGGAGCGTCTTTCTCAGGAATGCCCGATCAAGGAGGTAGGAGAACACGGGCAGACATCACCGCAATATACATGAATGGGAGGAATTACATGGGCTGTGTAGCAAAGGCTTTCCTTAAAAAGTCTGCCCTATGCTTATTGCTGTAAATTTATCCACTTATTCCTACCATTTAAATTAACTCAGCTTCAAAGTATAGATTTAGAATCCTCCATTTTTGTTAACACGCTAGGATGGTCCAGAAATTAATAGTGATTTCCACACAAATGACATTTTACCAGGCTGCTATGATTTTCAAAATATGTCATCTGTCAAATAGATTTGACTATCCACTATCAGTATAGCCCATTATAGGGTAGTTTTTAAATTTTGTTGCAGATTATCTAACCTGATTAAGCATCTGCCTAGTGTTTGGAATTAACACTGGATTTTTTGTTCATCACTCTGTATGAATATGTAGGCTTTTTATTTGAAAAAAGCTTGAATTCCTATCATGGGAAAAGACTAGTTGAATGTATGACTTGTTTAATCCCACTCACACTTGAAATAGCTGTGTTTCCCTATAATGTAAAAGCTATCTTTTTTATAATATGCATATACATAGTTCATATATACATGCTATAGTTCACAAAGCTATGACTATATCTTTTTTTTTATTTTTAATATATCTGGAGAAAGCTTTCTATTTGAAGTTTCAAATCTTTCACACAACAATCTAAAAATTAATATAAAGCATCCTGTCTTTTTTTCCACCTGCTCCAAAATGCCTGACCTGTACCTACTTCCATGCTCCAAGCCCTGCATGGCACCTCACATGGTTGAAGGCTGGAGAATGTAGGACTGATACTATCCAGCAGGTGGAGGTGTTGGAATGACAAATATTCTTAAGTCTCATGATATTAAGGATAGCAGTATATTCAGTCATATTTCTCCAAGCAAGAATTTGTACATGATTTTCCATGGAGAAAAGAAGGAAACATAAAAAGCCTTGTGATGCTTGTAGATGCCAGGATGTCACACTTTCAGGTGGCTTCCTCCAGCCAGCACAGGGACTGGGACTGCCCAGCTCCTTCTGCTTTCAAAGGCTACTCAGGTCACTGCTGGCATTTCTGCACGCCAGGCCAGAAGTAAAGAAAGCATTGTGTTTCCACTAAACAAGAAAAGGGAGGAAAAAAAGGTTTTACTACTACTCGCAAACTAGTATACTGGAGATATCACGATGACTTTTAATCACTTCTGAGGCCCAAACCTCTATTTATTATTTTATTTTAAAAGGAAAAAGCCTTTCAAATAAACTTGATATAAAATACATTGTTAGGCAAGCCTGTATTCCATACTGTCAGGGTTGAGTATAAATTTGCATATTTATACATAATTCAAAGGGGAAAATAAGTTACTGAATACTGCTGAATTGATGTATATGAAATCTAAAAATTGCCTTTGCACTTTACAGTTTATTTACAAATTAACTGTGCGCTGAGATGGGGCATAACGATCATCAAAAGTAATGATTGAAGAATAAATTGTGGAGAATGGACCTGTACAAACCCAAGATGGTATCCATCAAGCGGTTTTAAAGTTTAGGGACGGAAATAAAAGTTCACTCTACTGCCTTCTTTAAATCTCCAAAAAGTCAAACTGGCCCAAGTATCCCTACTCTACTAGACTCAAAGGGGTTTCTCTATGAGGAAACAAAAATCCTCTCTTACTCCACATTATCCAGCAGCTCCTGACCAGAGCTAAGCCTATTAATTTTGGTACTAAAAATAAGTCTGCTTGAGAACAAATCATTGTATTTTTTCTTCCTCTTCCAGTCTGAGAATGCAGACAAGGAAAAGAGAAGCCAAGCAGATTGTTTCTTAGCTGCCCCAAAACGTTGACTCACTGGGCAGCTAGCGGGGAGGAGGGAGCTCTCCATCTGCCTGTTACTTTCTGACCCCATTTCCATGAAATGTAGGTGGTGCTTTATGTCAAAGAAGAAATGAAGAGGAATGATCTTCCAGAAACAGCAGTGATTGGTCTTCTGTGGACCTGTATAATGAACGCCGTTGAGTGGAACAAGAAGGAAGAACTTGTTGCAGAGCAGGCTCTGAAGCACCTGAAGGTAACAGCCCTTAGCAAGGAACTGACAAGGGCAAACTGCAGCTTTTTTTTTTTTTTTTTTTTTTTCTTTTTTTATTGAGACAGAGTCTCATTCTGTTGCCTCGGCTAGAGTGCAGTGGCACAATCTGGGCTCACTGCAACTTTGAACTCCTGGACTCAAGCCATCCTCCCTCCTCAGCCTCCCAGCTAGCTGGGACTACAGGTGCTTGCCACCACATCTGGCTAATTTCTTCATTTTTTGGTAGAGATGTTGTTTTGCTATGTTGCCCAGGCTGGTCCTGAAATCCTGCATTCAAGCTATCCTCCTGCTTCGGCCTCCCTAAATGTTGGGATTGCAGGCATGAGCCACCACCCCTGGCCCACATTTGTCTTAATTGAGAGTATGACAAATGGGTTCCAACTACAATTACCCCAGACTCAGACTAAACATATACTTTCTAATTTTTTTCAAGTGTGCACCCACCGTTCATGAGAACATAGCAGTGAATAAACTATCCATGTTACTTTGATCAGGGAAGGCCCTTTAGAAGAGATAAGTATTGAATTGAGTAAGTCTCAGAAAAACAATGGCTGTGCATCAGTGTCAGAAAGTCAAGGATATTTCTAAATGAATGCTTTTTATCCCAGCAGCTCATCAAGATTCTTTCTCTGTACCCACTAAGAGTCCAAATATGAGAATCTGCCTATATTAAAGATAATTGCTATGCCTGCTATGTCTAAGAGATATTGTGAAAATGCAGTCATATCCTCATACAATATCCATTGTATTACTGGACTGTAGCTCTGCCATTGAGAAAGTGTGAATCTTCTTCCCAGTTCCCTCACAGGTCTGCCATACTGCTTTGTTCCTACTGTTCTGTTCCCCTCACCCTGTTGGACACAATATGATGATAACAAGGTATTAATCCTAAAGTAAGTCTTTTCTAAGCAACCCTCCAGGTTATTGTTATGGTTCCAGCAGTGTCAGCTGTGTACCTCCCACGCAAGTGATGGCTTTTACTCTCCACTTCTGTTCTAGCAATATGCTCCCCTGCTGGCCGTGTTCAGCTCCCAAGGCCAGTCAGAGCTGATCCTCCTCCAGAAGGTTCAGGAATACTGCTACGACAACATCCATTTCATGAAAGCCTTTCAGAAGATTGTGGTTCTCTTTTATAAAGGTATCCATCCATGTGCCACTGCTGTGCTGCTGTGTTTTGCTGAAGCTCTCTGAGGGGCAGAGCAGGGAATGAGGCAGAGGAGGTCGTGGGGCTCTGTTTAGAGATGGACAGCAAGATGCTAATTTGTGGAAGTTTTATTGAGGCAACCATACCACGTAGAGAGAGGAGGCATACACGCCACATATGCGTTGGCTTGGAAACCCTGCTTAGGCCCCTGGGCACTTCTCATTGGTAGATGAACTGGTAATTGTTTCTTGGGGATGGTGGAAAAAAATGTAATTATATAAAATTGAGCCTGTTTTTCAATTGTAAGGATTAGCTCTAATAACAATGATTATCAAAATGCTATATATATTATGTTCAGACCCTTTTAGGTACCATAAATCTGACTTTAAAATTACTGAAGTAATTAGCCTTTTTACTTTGTATTTTAGTTACTTGGCCCAGCCATTCTTCTATTTTCCAAGGGAATGGCTATTTTTAGGTTTTTACATTTACTGTCTTTTCATTGTATTTATAAGGATTAGGTTGCCATGACAACTGGCACTAAAAAATGAATGCTAAAGGTTTTAACTGATCTCAATCTGTATACCTACAGCATACAAAAATGTCCTAGGCTATTTTTTGGGCCTAAATTTGTATAGTTTTGTGAGGGAGAAAAAGGAACACTTAAGAAATGATACATTTTGAACATTCTAACATGTTTATGTTATTATATTCATAAATATCATGATATTAGAAAAGTTAATACCAGCCAAATGTTTATTTTCTCTTTGATGTGTTCCTAAATTTGTCTATTTTGAATTATATCTTGGGAATTTGGAAAATAAAAGTTTTACATAAATAATAGCTCTTTTAAAAATGCTTAATAGCATTTCACAATGAATTTTAATTGGCCACATAGATTCTTCAAATGAATGAATCTTGTCCACAAGTGTTTGGGTGATATTTTACTTTTTCAGAGCACAGAGTATTCAGCAACAATTATAATAGTCAGTAGGAAAATATGATGGCCACCCATTACCACTTGAGGTTCAGTAATTGGTGTTTTCTCCAACCAAATCTGAGTTGGGTCTTCTTGGATTTAGTCATAAGATAGCAGTGTCCTAAAACTAGGCCCCACCCAATGATACCCAAAGCGATCCACCCACCAGAACCAAACCTGCAAGCCCTGTTACCAACTCATAGATGGTACCCAGCAGCCAAGAATGAGAAGTGGGGCCCAACCTTCCGTGGCCACAGCTGGCTCCATTTGTAAAACTGGCAGAGAGACTTATGGAACAGGTTTCACTGTTTTGAGGGTGGTAAATTTTTTCCACTACAGAAAACCAAACTGTTCATAAACTAGTTACCTGAACATAGCTTGCTTTCTTGTCATTTAAAAGATAACTCAACCAGTGTTTCTCACCAAATTTTTTTTTTACTGAGACATCATTGTTTGAGTCTCATCTTCAGGAGCACCCTATCTTGTTATTGCAATGAAATCACAAAGAATCAGCAAACCCCTTGTTATGGGAAATGGCATCTTGGTGGCATATGAACTATTAAAATCCTGCAGATTTCTCTATTTTAACCACTAATGCCAACCTCCTTTTCCTTTAGACTTCTTATAACAACTACTGACAGGTAGTAAAACTGGCTACTTTGAGTTTTTTCTCATTCATCAGCCCCAGATGCTAAGGGTCAGTATGACCCGAAATTATAAAATAACTCAAGAAGTAAGCACTGGGAAGTAAAAAGAAGAGGCATGAGCTCTTAGGCTTATTGATTAACTAGGTAATCAGCGTTTAAATAACCTAAAATTAGTTAGGTCTGTGGCAAGTATGACCTGGCCCCAGGGAACACAGGAAGGGTGAGTTTCAACATCAATTTTAATTCTGCCTTAGTTATTTTTGGAAATGAAATTGGGAAACTTTTTTAAAAGTGGAAACCTAAAATACATCACTGAACTAACATTTTAAATACCATTTTCTAGGTAATTTTGTAATTTTCCACAAAATGATATATATAGTCTGTTTTCCTAAGTGAAATAATTCCATGTTTTCTCTTGAGAACATGGAATCCCTGAGGAATGATTGTTCCATACCACGTTAAGAGCATTACTGTGTTAACTATGTTTACCGTCTTGTCTCTTTTTTGCCAGATTTTTACTTTCACCTTATTTTGTCCACCAAACACTTGTGCACCAGGAGACATGTATTTGATTTGTTTCTGTAAAGATCTGATGCTCTCACTCTGTGTTTTATATGCCTAGAAAGACTTAATAAACAGTGAGTGTTAAAGCACTCTTTTCCTAATATGCCTAAGAATTACCCAGAGAGCTTGGTATAAAACACAGCTCCCCCAGAGATTCTGATTCAGTAGGGCCAGGATTGGGCCTGAGAATTTTCATTTTAGCAAGTTTCCAAAGTGATGCTCTGACTGTTGTACCAGGACCACTGGTGTAAAAAGTATATAGAATTCAAGAAGCAACAGATGCTATGAACTCCAGTAACATGTTCAAGATTATACTTACCTTTGATTTCATGTACATATCCACATCTTACAAATACGGAATAGTGTCTTCTCTGTCTTCTCTGCTGCTTTTACCAAGTTTCTGTGGATTCCTTTAGTTTGTCATAAGGAACATAGTTTTTAAAATGTGGTTTTTAAAATGTAATGGAAACCGTTGCTCCTTTTTAATTTTCATTTTTATCTCTCTCTTACACACACAGCACACACAAACACATACATGGACATACACACACACAGCTCCCCTTTCCCAACATGTCCAGAACTTGAGGATAACAGAAACTTGGGCATATGATTAGCCATGGCAAATCCAATTACTTAATTGAATATCATTATTGAAAGATTTATGAATCTTTTATATAAATAACAGTGGAATAAAAGCAAATTAAATAATACTAGTCAGCAAAGAAAAAAGTGGTGATGGGTCATTTTGCAAAGATTCTCTTTCTGTATTAAAATCCAGATTTGTATATTTCAGGCAGTAAGAAAGAGTAAATCCATTGCTAACTTTCAAGCATCACATTATTGACTTTTAAAAATAATTTTCTCTTCTTTTTTCCCTGAAGATAAGTCCCATAGACTCAGCATGGTCTAAAACGTATAAAACTACCTTGTCAAGTACTGTTATTATCTCTGTCATGGGTTTTCTTGTTTGCAGAAGTTTTTTAGGTTAAATTCTATCCTGCATGCAAATTTTTCTAAAAGGAGTTTTTTATTCTAGTTCTAAAAAAGGGTGAGTGCCCTTCTCAGCATATATTCCCAGCATTCTTAGGGTAAATTATTTTTGACTTGTGTCCCTATGTGACATTCCTAATAAAAAAATTCTGAATTTCAAGAGTTTCAAGTGACATAGTTTTAGACTAACTTTCTAAATAACATGATCTAAAATTTAGCAGTTCTCAAGCCACTTTTACAATATTGTCTCTTTGATCCTCATGAATACGTTAGAACTCTACAAATTGAGAAATATTCATTTTTTTCTCATCAAGTTAACAAATTTATTCCTTATACATGTGTTGAATGGATACTATGGGGCAGGTGTTTCATTAAATGCTGGAAATGAGATGAACAAAATATAGTGCCTGACTTCCTGAATTTCAGGATGTAGAAGAAAACAAAGAATTACAGTCACCATGTCAATTGCTGAAATAAGCCTCACACAGGGTGTCAGAAGGGATAGGACCACAGAGGAAGGGCACCTAACTTGTTAAAGCTAATTTGGAGGGGGAGAAGTGAAGGCTCTCGAGGTGCATGCATCTCACCAAACATTGTGAAGAAGTTGGCCAGATAGAAGGGGAAACATATATTCCAGTCTCTATGTGCCATCATACAATGTCTTCCTTTCTTACTGTCTTTTACTGTTATTCTGTATTCCTAAGAGGCATTTGTGGAATATCCCACCAAACATGATTTCTCAGTTTTAATTAACTCTTTTCCCCACTTTATCCTTAGTGAGGGAAGAAATTGTCTGATTCTTTATCCCTCAAGGAGTTCTTTCCTTTTCAGACCTTTCCTTTCACTAAATAGAAGTTGAATTTCTTCTTACACTCTTTGATGTTAATGCTTTGCCTCTATGGTGTTCCATGTAGATACTTCAGTAGCTTTTAGTTAATAATTCTCCGGTGCTAGAAGTTTGATCTTTCAGCCAGTAGTTATTACCAAACTGGGTTCTTCTAAGAACTCAACATTGCACCATTAATATGTAGACTCCTCTTATTTTAAATTCTCCTTCCTATTCTTAACATTAAATATTCTCAATTAATGGCAATTTAAGAATATCAAGGCACAAGATTTGCAGTAAACAATGCATTTGATAGGTTTTGCCTATCATTTAGTGTGCTTTTCACAAGCACTGACGTCGACAAGCATTTCAGTAGTTGCATGGTCTCTTTCAGCCTCTGTGGGGCAATAAAACACAGGAATGAGCTCTCAACCTTCAAAAGGAAAGCTCAGACAAATAGTATCACTAAACTGCAGTCTACATCCGCTTTCCAACCTGTACGTTGTATCATCCTCAGTTCAGTAAGGTGTGGAGAAAAAAATCAATTCTCCTTTCCATGTTTGTCACAGTTTAAAATTATATTGTTTGTTTAGAACATTAATAACGATAGTTCAGTAGTGCATGAATATAATTTATAAACTCAAAAATATACATATGTTGGGTGTGTATGCCCAAAATTATTCTACAGACAGGAAGACATGATCCAGTTTGATAATTACGGATCTAATCACAAGCATCTTAAAGACAAATTACAAATTACATATTAGGGACTTTAAAAATCTCTGTTAATGTTCTTTAAAAGTCTCTGCAAGGCAGTCTTGCATAATAACAGGTCAATTCCTTGGGACACAACTGCCTGCTCCTCAACTCTATGACAGTTAGGCTCTGATGGCTAGTAGAAATTTCTTTTATCTCAGTGGAGAGCTGGAAACAAAGAGCTAAAATAATTAGAAGCTAAGAGTAATTCTATAGGACCCCTTATTGTAACTCTTGCATCCAGTCTCTGTAAGTAAATTCAGACTTCTTGCTTCCTTTGCAAAATGTAGTGGTTTTAGTGATAATAATAAACAAGTTAAAAAAAAAAAAAAACTTTTATTTTCATAAACAAATCATGTTCATTTTAGTCAGGTCAGTCTCTTCAATTTAATCCAAGAACATTTTCCAAGAGCCAATAATTCTTTAAAAATAAAAAAGCCAGTGTTTTTGTTATGAAAATATCAGTGATGTTTTAAATGAAAACAATATTAAATTGTTTCTGTCATTTTCATAAGTTAAAATTACATTTTAACTGAAAATATATCATTCGAGTAATTTATTAACATTATATGGCTTTATCAGTATTTGTACTGAATTGAGCACATCTCAGGGACAATAATAAATGCTTTGTACCTGTTTTCTATCTCGTTTCCCACTACAAATTCCCAAACAACAACCCATTAGGACATTAGAACATTGGGAGAATATGTACACTTATTTTTATATTCTCATTCTTAACATTAAATACTCTCAATTAATGGTATCTTGAGAATATCAAGGCACATTTGTGGAATTTAGAGTTTTAGACAAAAGATAGTTAACATTTTTTTGTTGTTGTCACAAACCTGTAGGAAACTAGCTAATGTGTCTGTTTTCTCTTAATGTAGTAGAGGAAAAATATTACTCTTGTAATTTGATATACTGTGGGAAAATAAGTCGTGATTTAGTGATGGAGAAAGTGTAGAACTTCAGTTTATGTGTGTATTACTCCCACAACCCAGAAGTTCCTTTTTATATCTAATTGCTAACATTATTGCATACTATCTACATTTTTTTCCTTTGCCATTTTTCTCCTAAAAAAGAAAATCCCAATCCCCTTAAAAGACACTGGTGATTTGAGGTTGCTCTTTAATCAAGATATGGTTGAACTTGGCAGGACACAAAATGTTCTAAAATGCTGGATTGCTGATTCATTTGCCAAATTACAAAATAATTCTATTTCCTACCAGCAAATTAGCACTGTGAGAGATTTCCAAGTCCTAGTAGTGAGCTATAGGCTTGCATTATATCATGCCTAAGAAGATGTGTATCATCCTCATCACTACTTAAGCCTTTAGTAAGCTATCAAAATAGGGCACTGTGCTACATGAAAATCAACTTGGTTCCTCTCTTCTGATAAGTAACAGAATGCTTTATATTAAAAACGATTGCTTTCTATTAAACTGTAAGACATGAAGTTGTTTTGAAACATGACATTTGTGTAGTAACTTTGAAATCTTTGATTTCAAATTGCAGCTGATGTTCTGAGCGAAGAAGCAATACTGAAATGGTATAAGGAAGCACATGTTGCTAAAGGCAAAAGTGTTTTTCTTGACCAGATGAAGAAATTTGTTGAGTGGTTACAAAATGCAGAAGAAGGTATGAATCTGTTTAAAAATTTTGATGACCTTTAAACACTGTCTCATTATATGTCAAAATATTTACCACAGATTTTACTTGCTTTCCTAAAACTAAAATTCTTGAGTTATCTTTTGTATCAAACATTTTGCCAACATCTTAGCTTTCCTTTCTGAAATCACGGCAATAAAAATCTCTACATGTAAAAACAAAGAACGAAATGAAATGCTTAAATTATCCACTCTGATGGAGGACAGTAAAGAAGAAATGATCAGTAGATGTGAAAGGAGAAAAATACATTTAGCTTAATCACACATTATGGAATTCTATAGATTTTTATGACACCTTTACCAATTAACTGGCAATTTTAAATAATGGAAATGTAAGATGGAAGGATAATAATGGATAAGAGTGAATTCAGGCCAGGTGTGGTGGCTCACACCTGTAATCCCAGTGCTTTGGGAAGCTGAGGAGGGCAGATCACCAGAGGTCAGGAGTTCGAGAGCAGCCTGGCCAACATAATGAAACCCTGTCTCTATTAAAAATACAAAAAAAATTAGCCAGGTATGGTGGCACATGCCTGTAGTCCCAGCTACTCGGTAGGCTGAGGCAGGAGAATCGCTTGAACCAGGAGGCGAAGGTTGCAGGGAGCCAAGATCGCGCCACTGCACTCCAGCCTGGATGACAGAGCAAGACTGCATCTCAATAAATAAATAAATAAATAGAGTGAATTTAATTAAGAATAAGAAGTTTAGGCCGGGCGCAGTGACTCATGCCTGTAATCCCAGCACTTTGGGAGGCCGAGGCAGGCGGATCACGAGGTCAGGAGATCGAGACCATCTTGGCTAACACAATGAAACCCCGTCTCTACTAAAAATATAAAAAATTAGCCAGGCGTGGTGGCGGGCGCCTGTAGTCCCAGCTACTTGGGAGGCTGAGGCAGGAGAATGGCGTGAACCTGGGAGGCAGAGTTTGCGGTGAGCCAAGATCGTGCCACTGCACTACAGTTTGGGCAATAGAGCAAGACTCTGTCTCAAAAAAAAAAAAAAACAAAGAATAAAAAGTTTATCTTAGGTGATCCAAAGAAGAAAAGTTGTATTGTTTAATTTTATATATATTCAAATTTTTATATAATTTATATGTATATATGTTTGTATATTTTTATATAATTTATATGTATAAATTTTTATGTAATTTTTATATAATTTATATGTATAAATCTATTTTTATATAATTTATATGTAATTTATATACATATAATTTTTATATAATTTATATGTATAAATTTAATATATATATAATGTATGCATTTATAAGTATTCGTATATATATGCATGTTGCATTTGTAGACAGGCAAAATTTACCTGAAAGCAGAAAAGAGCAAGAGTTTGCCATCTGCCTTCATGTGACTATTTTACCTAATAATGGGTGCCTAGGGTAAAAGTATGCTGGCGCAATGGCAGGGTTCTGGGTTGGTGACTGTAGTAATTTATGACCTTTATTAGAGGAATCTGGGGGGAAATACCTAAATTCTTTCTTTCTTCTCTCCTAGAATCTGAATCGGAGGGTGAGGAAAATTAAATGGCTCAACAAGCACAATACCTAGGTTACCACACACCACTTTTTGATTGGGAATGCTGAACCATTTGAGAAGAGAAACTTGGCTTCTGTTTTCGCAAAGGAAAAAATATAGGATAGGCTTCTCTTGTGCAGAGGGAGAAATGGTTTTGTTTTTGTTTTGTTTTTAAATGGAGCCCTGAGGCATCACCTATTATACTTGGGACTCTACCTCTCACTCACTATATGCTAACTTAAAGCCATTCAACAAGGAGTCAAGTAGGAATCTGAAATTAAATACTCAACAGACTCCTCTTTTTTTAGCTGTATTTTTCAGGTACTGTGTGGTGCCCGCCCCACTGGTGTCTATTACAGGCCACTTTGGTAGTTGTGTATCTGCTCATGTATGTGATTTGACAAACCAGTTTTTTAAAATAAATGGCTTTTTAAAAATCTGGGCTTATATTGTCAGAGCTTTTATTTCTTTCCTATACATGACTTCTTACACAGATGGTATTTCGGTGTTTTTTCTCTTCCCATCCACAATATTGAATGGTTATATTTCTTGTCATCTATTAAAAACTATTCTGCTCATGCCTGTAATCCCAGCACTTTGGGAGTCCGAGGCGGGCGGATCACGGGTCAGGAGATCGAGACCATCCTGGCTAACACGGTGAAACCCCGTCTCTACTAAAAATACAAAAATTAGCCAGGCGAGGTGGCAGGCGCCTGTAATCCCAGCTGCTCGGGAGGCCAGGCAGGAGAATGGCGTGAACCTGGGAGGCGGAGCTTGCAGTGAGCGGAGATGGCACCACTGCACTCCAGCCTGGAGACAGAGCGAGACTCCATCTCAAATAAAATTTTTTAAAAAAAGAAAAAAACTATGCTGTTTCTCTCATGAGTAATACATTTCAGTTATCCTCATGGCAAAGGAGAAATTAACCCCAAAATACATGCACATTGGTCTTATTAATAATACCATGGTTTTATTATTAATAATTAAGCATATAAATATATGTTCCACGTTGCTCATGTTTTCCTCAGCACTATTTTCTCCCCACTTAGAGGAGAGCTAAAGATTTATGTATATAGGTTTAGGTCTTTGTTTATATTTATTTATGACTAAGTTATATTATCTTAAGTTATTCTCTCAATAGTATTAATAACAGTACAAAACATCTGAACATTTGGGAAAACTTTATACAGAAGTCTTTTTTTTCTTTTTTTTAACTATTGAAAAGCTTAAGGTACTGCCCTGGTGCTAGCCTGATGGTAATCTCTTAAGAAGGAAACATTTTATCTAAGACTAGAAGCAAAAGGATGATACATTAGTAACCCTTGTACTCATTCAGATAAGCAAAAGGAAAATTGTCATTGTATCATCATCATCCTGTATCTAAAGAGGGTTTTCTGATTTCCTGTTTGTCTTCAGGAAAGAAAAATATTTTCCCTATGACTTGACCACTATTTATAACCATAAAATGATAGATCATTTTCTCTTTTTTTGAGAGGGGCTGGCGCCCTCTGTGGTCCAGGCTGAAATGCAGTGGCATGATCACAGCTCACCGCAGCCTCAACCTCCCAGGCTCAAGCAATCCTACTTCAGCCTACCAAGTAGCTGGGACTACAGGCACGTGCCACCACACCCAAGTAATTTTTAAGTTTTTTGTAGTAATGGGGTTTCACCATGTTGCCCAGGCTGGTCTTGAACTCCTGAGCTCAAGCAACCTGCCCACCTCAGCCTCCCAAAGTGCTAGGATTACAGGTGTGAGCCACTGTACTGGACCAGTCTTCCCATCTTTTAAATATTAAACATTTGATAAATGTCTTTCTTTCTGCGTAGTTAGAGCACTGTCAAGTTCTCTGTCCCAGCCAAAGTTCTTTGTCCCAGGACAAAGTAATATCTGTTTAAATAGATATGTTTTTGTTTTGTTTTGTTTTTTTGAGACTGAGTCTCGCTCTGTTGCCCAGGCTGGAGTGCAGTGGTGTGATACTGGTTCACTGCAACCTCCATCTCCTGGGTTCAAGCGATTCTCCTGCCTCAGCCTCCTTTTGAAAAATCATCTATATGTGAGAATGCTATTTTCATTGCACAAGAAATAATGACAGGACAACTGTGGTCAAGAAGAAAGTCATAGAATAAAGAGCTTATGTCACCTTGGAGTGCTTAGCATAGCCCTGGAGGAAACATATGTATTCTTTCCTAAAGTTGACCTACTAGATAATGTCCCTTTTTCATATCCTGATTTTCCTTCACGGTTGCCTTCCTCCTATTTTATAAAAGAAAATACTAATGCATCCATTCCAATATGGTACACTGCCCCAAGGATGACAGGCAGATGGCACTAAACAAAGGGACAGTTGTAGAATGTGTGGCTCTTTTAGGCTAGTCCCTTGAGAGAAAAGCTGGAAATTGATGGGAGAGGTGGCTGATTTCTAACAGGCCATCAATTCGTGGCAAGTCTCCATTATCTGTCTACTCTTCCATCTATTCTTTTTTTTTTTTTTAGAGACAGAGTCTTGCTCTGTGACCCAGGCTGTAGTGCAGTGGCACTACCTTGACTCACTGCAACCTCTGCCTGGGCTCAAGCAATTTTCCTGCCTCAGCCTCCGGAGTAGCTGGGATACAGTAGGGAGCCACCACACCCAGCTAATTTCTGTGTTTTTAGTAGAGATGGGGGTTTCACCATGTTGGCCAGACTGGTCTCGAACTCCTGACCTCAGGTGATCCACCCACCTCGGCCTCTGAAAGTGCTGGGATTACAGGCGCGAGCCACTGTTCTTGGCCCCCTTCCATATATCTAAAAATTATAATATTGCAGATAAATAGTAATTACACCATGTATGTCTATTAATGTGCTTATTTGAAATGAAAAAATGCAAAATTTTAACTGAAAAATAAACTTGGCCAACTAATTTGACACATCCTGACTGCCAGTTAGGATACATGGCTAGAATATTCTATAAATTGAAAAAATTAAATATCATATCTAATATATTAGCAAAATTTAAAGATGAAATATTGAAAACATGCTACAAATGTTATGTCAACTTTTATGTGTTTTTACACGTCAATGTGTAAGAGAGTTATTCCTCCACTTTAGCAGAATATGAGTAAAAAATGTGAGCCAACAATTTTGTTGGCTCCAGCATTTCCAAGGTAACCAAAAAGCATAGTCATCCAAGGGCTTAGAATGGAACCAACATGGAACTAGAAGTCTATGGAATACTACTTAACATTTTCCAGCACAGAGTATTTTTCCCAAACAAAACTTGAGATAGCGATTGTAAGGTCAGCACGCATCGGGAAGGGAGAGGAATGCTCAAACCAAAAGCCCTGTCTTTCTCTGAAAGACAATTTCCTGTTTTTTGTTTGTTTTTATATAAAACCAGTTCCTATTTTAAAAGTAGTTAAGTTAGTTATCCATGGCTGTGGAACAAATTACCCTAACATTTGGCCATTTGGCAGCTTTAAACAATAAACATATGTGATGCCACAGCTTCCATGGGTCTGGAATCTGGAATCTGGGACTGGCTTGGCTGTGTGGCTTCAGCTCAGCCTCATGAGGTTGCCATCAGGCCATGGACTGGAGCCACTGTCTTCCCAGGGCTGTAGAATCTGCTTTCAGGGTGACTCACAAGGTTGTTGGTGGACCTCAGTTCTTGCTGACTTTTAGCCAGAACCTCAACTCAACTGCCTGAGTGACCTCATGACATAATCGCTGGCTTCCTCCAGATTGAGTGATCTGAGAGACAAGGAGCCCAAGAAGGAAGTCATCTTTAATAACCTAATATTGGAAGTGACATAACATCACTTCTGCTATATTCTATTGGTCACATAGACCAACCCTGTATAATGTATAAGAGAACTGAATGAGAGTGTGAATACCAAGACATCAGGATAATTTAAGGCCAACCTGGAGACTGGCTACCACAGTAGTTAGTACATACACAAAAATAATTTCTGGATAAATTAAAAACGTTCACCTTGCCAGGCATAGTGGCTCACACCTGTAATCCCAACACTTTAGGTGGCCGAGGCTGGAGGATCCCTTGATCCCTTGAGCCCAAGACCAGCCTGGGCAACACAGTGAGACCTCTTATCTACAAAAGTTAAATAAACAAACCTGGGCATGGTGGCACCACCTGTGGTTCCAGCTACTCTCGAGCCTGGGGCAGGAGGATTTGCTTGAGACCTGGAGGTCGAGGCTGCAATGAGGCGTGATCATGCTATGCACTCCAGCTTGGGTGAGAGAGTGAGACCCTGTCTTAAAAAAAAAAAAAATTAAAAATTAAAATTTTCACCTAATGGTAAAACAAAGCACTAAAAAAAACAAAGAAATGTCTTTATAGCATTCACATAGAGAAAATAAGACACAAAAGCAAAAAATAAAAAGCTCTGAATATGGAAAGTTTAAAATGTGTCTATACTGAAAGGCATATGAATGATAAACACCAAACACATATGAAATCAGTAGAGCTTCAACAGATGGATAAAAATAACAAAAGAGTTAATACAATATAAACAGCTTCTATAAATTAATAAGAGAAAGAATTTAACTGAAAATATACAAAGAGTATGATGAGTCAATTCAAATGGATAATTAAAATGAAAAGATGCTCAACCTTACTGTTAATTGGACATGTACAACTTAATAAAGTCAGAAAAAAATTACTAAAATCAATAACGTTGGTTTATGAAAAGTGAGTTATTTTCACATATGGCCTTTACAGTTACAATCTGGCAATAAATGTCAAGATTTTTTAAATGCATGTCCATTGATCCACCACTCCATTTCTAGAAATCATTCCACAGTTGTACCCAAAGACCTATGTGCACTGATCACTGTATTAGTGATAGGCTGGTAGATGTAAAATGTGTATAAGAAAAAAACCACCTGGCTGGGCATGGTGGCTCACGCCTGTAATCCCAGCACTTTGGGAGGCCGAGGCAGGTGGATCACCTGAGATCAGGAGTTTGAGACCAGCCTGGTGAGCCAAGATTGTGCCATTGCACCCCAGCCTGGGCAACAAGAGAGAAACTGCCTCAAGAAAGAATGGAAGGAAGGAAGGAAGGAAGGAAGGAAGGAAGGAAGGAAGGAAGGAAGGAAGGAAGGAAGGAAGGAAGGAAGGAAGGAAGGAAGGAAGGAAGGAAGGGAGGAAGGGAAGGAAGGAAGGAAGGAAGGAAGGAAGGAAGGAAGGGAAGGAAGGAAGGAAGGAAGGAAGGAAGGAAGGAAGGAAGGAAGGAAGGAAGGAAGGAAGGAAGGAAGGGAAGGGAGGAAGGAAGGAAATGACTACCTTAAAAATTATCATGAATCTATATCATGGAACAATGTTTTTTTTTTGTTTGTTTTTTTGCTGTGGAACAAATTATCCTAACATTTAGCAGCTTTAAATAAAGAACATTTTTAAAACATTTTTTTCTGCCATAGTTTCTGTGGGTCAGGAATCTAGAAGC